TAATCGAAAATCAAAAGTACATTAAAACTTTGGCTGAAACTTTGCTGTTGACAGCCACTCAGAATATTTCCCAACGTGGCCATGATGAATCGGAAAACTCAAAAAACAGGGGAAATTTCCTTGAGATTTTAGATCTTGTGAGTAGACATGATGCCTTAGTGAAAAAACGGCTGTCACAGGGTCCCAGGAATGCTAAATACACAAGCAAAAGCACTCAAAATGAGATTTTGGAGTGTTTAGCAGAAATGGTGAGAGAGGAAATTATAAAAGAGGTTAAAGAAAGTGAGCACTTTTCTATTTTAGCAGATGAGACTAAAGACATTCAAAAAAAGGAGCAGCTCTCTCTGGTCGTAAGATATTACTATAACGGTGTGGTTCAGGAGAGCTTCCTTGAGTACCAAAAAGCAGAGCACTTAGATGCAGCCAGAATCTGGTGGGCCAAGGCTATGATGGGGCTGCAGTAATGAGTGGCAGGTGCTCTGGGGTCCAAACAAGGGTAAAGGAAGTTGCCAAATATGCATTTTATGTTCACTGCAGGGCACACTGTTTGAATCTTGTCATTGTGGACAGTGTAAAAATGTCCCAGAAGCTGCATGTTTTTTCACTTTGCTGGAAAGACTGTACACATTCATGTCAGGCTCATATGTCCACATTAAGTGGATAGATGTTCAAAAAGAAATGTTCAGTGGTGGGGCACCACGAGAACTTCCAAGGCTAAGTGACACTAGATGGGCCTGTCGCTATGCTGCATGTAAAAACCTTATGGACAGGCTGCCTGCAGTAATAAGAGTGCTGGATGAAATTTCAGATGAGGCCAATCCACAGAGAGCTGTAGACGCAAGAGGACTACGTTCTCAAATTGATTTTAATTTCATAGGACTCCTTGCAGTCTTCAGAAAAGTGCTAGGTGAAACCAAGTTTTTATCTGAGATGCTCCAGTCAACTAATGTGGACCTTACCAAAGCAGTTGACCTTACTGAAACCCTCAGACAGACATTGGAAGATTATCGCAAAGAGGAGAGCTTTAATGAGCTGTGGAGTCTAGCAATTGACACATGCAATGGTTGCAACATTTCTACCATTGTCAAATCAAAAAGAACCAAACACACTTCTAGGAGACTACATGATAGTCTTGTAACTTCTACACTTGGACAGCAAACACATGTTGACAGCAAAGATGCCTTTAGAATAGGTATATTCATTCCCATCATAGACTCAATAATCAGTGAAGTGGACAGGCGCTTTTCAAACTCTAGCAGCAAGATAATGAGGGGTATACAAGCTTTAAACCCATCAAACAATGACTTCTTAAAGGAAGAATTGGTTTTGTTAGTGGCTGAGGAATATGGCTCTGACTTGCAAGACTTGAAAACTGAGATACACCAGGCAAAAAGACTTCTTGAAAGAAACAGAGCAAATGGCAAAGTAAACCCGTCCAGTTTGACTGAGTTTGTGACGTTCTTGGTGCCTTTTAAAGAGGTTTTCTTTGAGCTTTTTCGCCTGTGCAAGATCGCTATTGTTTTGCCAGTGAGTACTGCTGGGTGTGAGCGAAGCTTTTCAACTTTAAAGCTTGTAAAAACTCACCTGCGCTCAACCATGGCAGATGACCGTCTGAGAAATCTGGCTGTTCTCAGTATTGAAAAACAGCGTGCAAAAGCACTAGATTTAGATTTGTTCGTGAAACGTTTTGCTGCAAAGCACAACAACCGTCGCCTTAAGCTTTTCTAAAAAAAGATAGGTGATAATGGGTCATTTCATTTGTGGACTATAATTATACGTTTTTATATACAGTATAATAATAACTTTAGTATTGCCCACTGTTCTTTACTTGTAGTCCACTGCATATTGTACTTTTTTTTATAGTTTAATTTTTCTTGTTACACTTTTACTTTTTAAAAGATGCAGTTTTGTTGTTTTTGAACACTGCACTGGGCTTATTCATGTTGTGTTAAAACCTTTGTAGTGTGTATGGTCATGATTAAACTATAACTACTGTGTTTTTGTGTTTGTTTTGCTAAAGCAATTCACATATAGTGATTCCCATGTACCGTCTACCTTGCCACCCTGCCAAGACCTCTTGCCACCCCTTTGCCCCCCCATGTAAAATTTTCTAGATCCGCCACTGCATACAACGTAATCAAATTTGCACAAATTTGTATTTAATCAAAACAACAACATGACTACATTAAAGTATACAATAAAACATAAAGTTAACACACAACATCAAGCCTTGGACTGGAGAGGGTGAGAAAGTCAGGACAACCAAGCAGCAAGACCAAGCTCCTATCAGCCCCCAGCAGCTATCCTCCAGCTTCTTATGTGCAGCATGGTAAATCACCATCAATTCTCCACACCTGTTTCACAGCAATTAACCTGAGGACACAAAAAGTGTGACCCAAAGACATCTACTGGAAAAAATAAAGTAGTACACCCCGTGATCCATCACACTCGTAAGACTTGTAAATTTGTTTACGGTCACAATTGTGACCGGTAGTATAACAGTATAACAGTGCTTCAATTGAAAACACAGGTATTTGCAGATATTGGCGGGTATTGGCAATCCTAGACTGAATATGCTACATCTGTGAGGAGGATGGATGATCTCGGCGAAGGAGAAGTGCTCACTAACACAGATTTAGACAGATTTGTGAACAATATTTGAGAGAAATAGGCCTTTTGTGTACATAGAAATGGTCTAGATCTTTGAGTTCAGCTCATTAAAAATGGGGGCAAAAACAAAAGTGTTGCATTTATAATTTTGATTTTATAAATAAAATTAAAATAATTTTATAAAAACTGATTTATAATAAGTTATCAGTATCCCAGAAACGTTCAATGTGTTGGACCTTCTCGATGTGCATGCCCCCCCTTCCCCCCACCCCACACCCCAAATTGAAAGTGACTGTGATAGTGATGCCTCAGATAGGGAGTCCCAGGGTGAAACGACCCATTTGCCAGGTAGACTATTGAATGGTGATGCAGAGGTGAACTATCTGGAGGATTGTGCACTGTAAAAAAAATTTCCGTAAAAAAACAGATAATGTACTGGCAGAAAATTACCAGTACATTTTCTGTTAAATAACGGACAGTTCCTTCAACTCTAAAACGGAAAATTCTGTATATTAACAGTACATTTTCTGTTAAACTATGGAAAGTTTCTTCAATTCTAAAACTGAAAATTCTGTATATTAACAGTACATTTTCTGTTAAACTATGGAAAGTTCCTTCAAATCCTAAATGGAAAATTCTGTATATTAACAGTACATTTTCTGTTAAACTATGGAAAGTTCCTTCAACTCTAAAACTGAAAATTCTGTATATTAACAGTACATTTTCTGTATTATTCACAGATAATCCTTACACATAAATTTAAATTTATGGCATATCTTTTGGTAACAAATAATTCAAGAACAATATTTATAAATTGAACATGCTTTATTTTTGTAAACATTTTCATGTAAACATTCTTAAATGCATTCAATGGGTGGATAAAGAAATATATATATTTAACATCAATTAAACAATGTGCAAAACACCATAAAAAGTGCTTGTATTGTGGAATACGTTTTTAGACAAACAAACAAGGGACAGAATTAAAAGAAAACATGAGCAGGTACTTGCACAATATTGGTAGACATGAGCAGGATTGCACAATAATATAAAGTCGAGATTCAAAACATTTTCAAATGAAATTCAATACAAATACAGAAAAAAAAATGGAATATGAAGACATGGCAGCTGCTTTATCATTAAAAATTGCTTTAGACTTATAGTCAATAGTATAGTGAAATGTTAGTGTTGAGATTTCACTTTAAAAGAACAATATTCCTTAAAGGGAAAAGGGTTCACCCAAAAAAGAAATGTAATCCATGCAACTCCAGTGGTTTAACCTCAAATTTATGAAGCGGCACAAATTATTTGTGAAAAAAAAAAAAAAATCTCAAAACATCACAAAAAGATATAGATAGACAGACAGATAGCCGAGATAGAAAGATGTTTGCCAATATTGAACACTCATAATGATTAATAATAAGAAAATAAGAAATAAGAAATTAAAAATACAAACCCACAAGCAGCATGCAGGCTGGTGCTTGGCATGCAGAAGTACAGCTGCAAAGCCCTACCAATAGATAAGACCACAAAAGAAACACTGTGAAACAAACCAACGAGTATTACTTATTTGTCTGACAACGCAAAGCCAGTGTGTTCGTTATGCACACAGACTGTGGGATTTGATCTGTAAGGCTGATAACATTTTTAATAATTTTAAGTCACATATTTCCTTCCTACACACGATACTAATTGAATGAATGAATGAATTAATTGAACTGGTAAAGAATGACTAAGGTAACAGGCATTAGTATAAAAGCAGTGATGTTAAATTTATAATGTATGCATGTCGTCTATAACAAAAAAGACGTAAACATAACAATAACTTACCTCATTTGTTATTTGCAAGACAAATCATTTAGTGTGCGATAAAGTACTTGATTATTTTTTTTTGCTTTAAACAACAAAAGACAATTAAATAAGAGCATGTATGTGTATAATAGTGTTTGCACTGTTAAAAAGTTAAAATTCGTGAAGAAATCAAGAACTAATAGAAAGTCAAACCATTTATAAACAAATGAATATAAAATACACCAAACCAGTAATACAAAAACAGCTGCAGTTTTTAAATGTCTGCAATTCACATAACAATGTACAAAGCAATATTACAAAGTGCTTATAATGTAAACATTTTTAAGAGAAAAAAATTAAAACAATCTAGCTGTATAATAATGATGTAGCAACAAAGATAACATAAAAAAGTGAATTTTAGAGATTTAGAAAAAACTACCAGAGCACCAACGTTGCCCTCAATATCATTAATAACATTTTCTAGATTTGTCTATAACAAGACTGTTGTCTGTCCCATTTGTTCTTAAGAGAAGAGCATGAAGTGGGACGCTGGGCTTCATGTGTTTGCGTTCGAGTTATTACCTTTTTCCATGTGCCAATTTGAGCAAAACTACTGTTCAGTCCAAATTTCATTGTGAGCTTTGAAAAAAGAAAACTCAAATGTTCCATCGATTTTCAAAGTTGTTCAAGCCACACAGGAATTTCAACAGTCTTGGAGGAATGTGTTGCTTTTTTGTGCCCTTCATCTCAGCCTTTGACCCTCGTTCAGGATTTATTCCCAGGAAAACTCTTTAAGAAATGAATACACATTTTTTTGTTAATCAAGTAATGAAGTTAATAAAACTGAAATAGAGAAACATGCAGACAGGGTTTAATAGACTCTTTCTTTGAGTACTTGTTTGACACTAACGCTTGTCTAAGACGAGTGTATTTTTTTTGATGGGGCAAGTGAAATTTTTATAATGAGTTAATGGCTTCAGGATAAATTAGATTCCTTTTTATTCCCTCTGACAAGTAAACCAACAATTGACACATTTTAAGACTTAAAGAGAACATTCATCCACAAATAATAATTTACTCACCCTCAAGTTGTTCCAAACCTGTATGATTTCTAAATACAAAAGGATATATTTTGATTACCCAACAGTTGATGTGCCATTGACTTCCATAGTATCTCTTTCCTACATGGAAGTCAATGGTTACCGTCAACTGTTGGGTAATAGAAATATATTTGTTTTTAATCAAAAGAAGAAAGAAACTCGTAAAGGCTTGTGACAACACAAGGGCAAGTAAATTTTTTTTTTTTTTTTTGGTGAATTATCCCTGTAATGTCAGGCACTGATTAAATGATCATTGCAATTCTTAACATATACTGCATTTAATCCTGGAAAAAGCAAGATTCAATAATTTCTGAAATTTTAAAAAGCCCCTTTAAGAACAGCAACACAACATCATGCTATATACTCCCAACATTTAATGTGTGGCTTTACCTTTGGATGAATTCCAGGGAGAGTGACATCTCTTTTGGGTATTTGATGTTCAAAACATAAAACAAAGAGAAAGCGTAACTCAGGGCCACAACAGGGGAGGTGATGTGATCATTAACGATTTCCTGATCCACAGCAATCTTGAATCGACCATCACCTTAAACAGACAAATATTTTAAAAAAAGGACAAAACAAAACACTATATTGGTTTTAAGTGGTCTTGTAGTTTCAGTCTATGTTCAAAGTAAACAGCATGCAAATCTGGCACAAATCCGATTTTTCTGCTCAGAGGTGACTTGCTTTAAACAACAAAAGACAATTAAATAAGAGCATGTATGTGCATAATAGGCGTTTTAAAACCAATTTAAAAAGCCACATAGTTTGTTCCTACATTCTGTTGTTCCTAATAATCGAATGAAAGACTCAACTTTTTTAAAGTGTTAAATAAATTACAAAAAGAATACAAACCAATGATAATACAGGGGGTGCTTGGGATGCTTCGTCCAGCAGCAATTCCGTCCTGTGGGGGAGATATGAAGGAAAAGTTCAGCCAAAAATTGTAAAGAAATGACTAGAGGGGGAAGATAAACATAGATTCCCACACAATCATAAATAAATAAGTGAAAACCCACCTCGTTTTGGCAGTAAAGGTGATCAGGTGTTTCCTTAAAAAAATTGGCAATACCAGAGATCAGCTGTACTGGATCATCAGAAAGTTCAATCTTCATCCCTTTTGAGTTAAGGAAGTCTTTGATGGTATTTCCTTTTTTTGCTAATTCTTCAGGCAGCTTTGTTTGCACCGGAAAGCCAACAAGTGTACATGTGTGATCAAACAGGTGAACGGCTTCAAAAAGGAAAGGCCACTCTTCCATTAAAGTTTTTACAGTGCTTCCTTTGTTGATGGTTGCACGCTGGATGCAATACGTTTCACCCATCATTTTTCTAATGCAGGACTCCTGAAGATCATGGGATATGAAGGCACTTTTCAAATCATCTTGTTTAGATTTGAGTTCATCTGTAGCTTCAATAGCAGGCTGCCACTCCACACATCCATAACGATCTGAATGTGTAGATTTTCTCCTCACCGCATCTCCATCCTCTGCTGGCCTCTTTGAGCTGATGGTTAAGGGTCTCCGAACATTTTCAACTCTATTTTCAAGCTGTATAAAGAGAGCATCAAATCCCGTGCCAATTACTTTTGTTCCATTGAGCTCTCTGTCTTGGAAAGAGCAGGGATATTTGTCTACAATCTGCTTTGCAATATCCCGCAGCTTTGCTCTTCCAGGCCTTCCATTTACTTTACTGAGTACATCATCCATGACGATGCGAACTAGCTCTCTTCTCTCACTAGGCTTTGGCCTTTTCTTTTCACTTAGGACAAGCATGAAGTTTGAAGGCATTTTGTGCCATGGTACAACATATACCTCATGGGTTGTGGAACACTCCATAGAACTTTGTTTCAGAGATGGTGTTGGGGGCACATGGAAATCCTGACGAGGATTTGTAGAATTGGAGCCAAGCACAGCTTGTGACCCTACGCATAACATACATAACCAAAAATTAACAACATGAGCAATGGACATGATTTAAAGGGATAGTTCACTTTGAAATTAATTTTTGATATGTTTTAGCTTACCTCAATGGCATCCAAGATCTAGGTGTCTTTGTTTCCACAGTATTTTCAATTGTGATATTTTTAGGTCAAACCGTTGTTGTCTGTCAATAATATAATGGAAGTCTATGGTCACCACCTCAAAGAGCATGCACAGAGAAGTCCAGATTAAACATGATTTAATGACTCGTAAATACAAGTCAAGTCAAGTCACATTTATTTATATAGCGCTTTTCACAATTCAGATTGTATCAAAGCAGCTTCACAGTGATAACATGAAAGTAGTACAACACAGATCAATAATATTGTTAAATATTAAATAACCCCAACTAAGCAAGCCATTGATGGCCTAAGACACGAAACGAGCGGTTTGTGTGAGAAAACAAACAGTATTTATATCGTTTTACCTAGGGCGGGGGTAAGCGATTATTAACTAAACGATTAGTTGGGCGATTATTTTATCGATTAGTCGACTAATCTAATGACTGAACGACTAATATAAAGGATATTTTTCTGCTGCTCAATTAATAAAAAAACAATGCATCTCAAATAAATACTAGCATACTGAATCAAGATACTATAAGCTGGCTAACATTAGTCTAATGTTATGTATTTGAACACCATCATTATAACTCTACAACCGCCAAAACCGTGTTATTAAAATATTTTTTTAAAAACATTTTTTATCATAGAGAGTGTTTAAATATTAATGTCAGCTGAGGAGGGAAACGGAGGCGGAGTTAGTGGTGCGATCGGAGGCTGCTACTGCTGGAGATGAATCGGGAGAGGTTTCTGCACCTACTGATCAGAGCGCGTGCTGACACGGAGTAAAGCCTTGTTTATACTCGACACGTCCGCACGAGCGCGAATGTGAGTGCGGCAAAAATGACGCGTTGGGTGCGCAAGACCAGGAAGACTGTGGCTGGCTGTGTGTACGCCTTTTTTTGTAACAGCGCGCGCGGCGGCGCCGCGTCCGGGATGAACGACTTAAAGCCGAATCTGCCCAAGCTTGTACGTCTCACCACACCGGCACCCAGTTTGCGAGTTTTTTTTTTCTTAAGGGTTTGTTTACTGTGTGTGATTCATTTAATGGATGGCACATTCACTTCTAGTTGTCTTCGTCCTCTATTCTGCAATGTTTCGGTCTCCCACGTGTGTGTGGCAAGCAGTACCGCCGGGAACATGCAAAAAATAAATAAATAAAGAAGCGTTGACGCAAAAATATGACGATGTCATCGACGCGCCGCTACAGCACTAGTTTTAACTCTTGTAATCACAGCCATGTCCAACTGATCTGACAGCACGGGCGCTTCGGTCTGCGCCAGAAGTGATCTCTCGCGCATGTACGTCACTCACTGTTTACAAAAAGAAGATCTAAACATCTTTAGACATACAGGAAATCGCAATGGAAGATGATTTCAATATTTATTTCTTCATTGTGAAAGGTAAAACATCCGAAATCTCTGTGTAAACAATGAGTGATGTACACGCACAGGAGATCACTTCCGGCGCATGCGCAGAACGAAGCACCCGTGCCTTCAGATCAGTTGTACACGTGGCTGTCGTTACAAGAGGTAAAAACGATATAAACACTGTTGGTTTTCTCACACAAACCGCTTGTTTCGTGTCTTAGGCAATCAATGGGTACTTACATTAACGAGTCATTAAATCATGTTTAATTTGGACTTCTCTGTGCATGTTCTTTGAGGTGGTGACCATAGACTTCCATTATATGACTGACAGACACGAACGGTGTGACCTAAAAATAGCAAAATTGAAAATACTGTGGAAACAAAGACACCTACATCTTGGATGCCCTTGAGGTAAGCTAAAACATACCAAAAATTAATTTCAAAGTGAAGTATCCCTTTAAGCTATAACAATACAGTATATGGTACATGCGAATACAATCAATTTGAATATCTATTTTTACACTTATAAAACTTTAATAAATAAAAAAATCTATAACATTTGTTGACCATACTAGATTAGGGTTAGAAATCTAAAAACTTACCTGAATTGAAAGCTTGAATTAGTCTTCTACACTGAATCGGTGGCAGAATTCCATCAACGTCCTCGATCGTGACAAAGCTAAGGTCATCTACACAGTTTACTCCAACCAACTCAAGTCTAGCCATAAGTGAATCCATCAGATCATTGCTGAGTGATGGTATAGCTTTCTTAACCATATCTTTCACAAGCTCCATAGTGGCATATGTTTAAGCGGGAGAAGTAGCCTTGCACCTCTGTGGTAAAAAGAAAGTGAAGCGTAATCACTGAGATTGTCAAGATTTTTACAGATGAGCTTATCGGAACTGTTTTTATCGCTTTCGTACAATCCAAGCTCAGGCAGCCAGCTGGCAGTTTTTCCACGTAGCAACAGTAGGACAGTTGTTTCACCTTTGATGAAAATGCTAGCTATTTGCCCTAACTGTAGCTGTCTTTTGGTGTATTTCAGTAAGACATGCATACCCAGTGCCGATCCTGACCTCCCTGGGGCCCTAAGCAAAATTCTGCTAAGGGGCCCTCTACCTGACCCGTGACGCCGTGACGTGAGCTCATTGATATCAAGAATTAACTTTTGTACAAGTGAACATGTAAGTCCTGATCAAAAATAGACATTGGTAGAGAAAAATGTAACTAAGGGGCCTTACTAGTAAAAAATTATCAAGAATTCACATTGAAAATAGTAAAAAAAAAAAAAAAATGATATTCTTAATATCAAAAATACATAAACTGTGAATGAATAAAAGCTAAAATGGCTTGCCATGGCATGTTAAAGTTTTTTTTTTTATTATTATTATTATGCATGTTGAAGCAATTCTTGATTTATGGTTATTATTTACTGAGGGATGTGCATCCATTTTGACCAGTATGTCCAGCTTATCAACATTTTAAATTCAATATAGCCTATATATCAATAGTCAATCAATGTCAAATTGTCAATATTGCTTTCCATCTTGCATAATTAGTGCTGCTGCAGTTGTTTAGAATGTTTAACTACACATTGACTGAGACTATATAATCAGTTTCTTGTTTTAAAAGTATGTATGTATAATGTGTATTTTGATGAGAGGAGTGCCATCATTTCCCGCCCATATATTGTACAGTATGTCCACATATATTTCTGCTTGAAAAAATGCGCGTTTCATTTCGTGCACGCGCATATGAACACGCATGATAGCCTACACGCGACGCGGTTATCTTTTCCGAGCTGCAGTAAACAAACACCGTTGCGCAACTTGCACTTTGTTGTTTATCAAAAACAAACGTAATAAATAATTGTATTTTACTCTCACTTTTGTCAGTCAGGCACAAAGAGAAGTGATGCAAGAGATGCACTGCCTGTCTGCCCAGCTAGGTCAGCAAGACCGAAAAAACACAATAGAAATGCACATAAACTTAACTTTACTTTGCTGACTGACATCAAACTTGGAGAGAAGAGAACACAAGTTTACCTAAATGTTGTTCCCGCAATTCACTCTCATGTTTTTTCTTCTTTCTCTTATCGTGACCAGAGGGATAGTTTCGCTTCATTTTGTCAACATTAATTGACGCGCTATGACACGAGGAGGGGGAGGCGGGGCCTTGAGTAATTTGCGGGGCCCTACGCAGCTTGCGTAGTGAGCGTATAGGGCGGATCGGCTCTGTGCATACCATTTGTGTACAAAGTGCCTCTAACTTGGACTTTATCTGTGACAACTGTGTTAATTGACGCAAGTCCAAAGTCTGCAACTGTTTCTCTTATGCTACTGTCATAGAGCTCTGGATAAAAGCAAGTGGAGTCTGAAACTTGAACCTGTGGGCTAAACAAATTGCCGCTACTCTGATATGCTTGGAACAACTGATGTCTGTGTGCAAGGGACTTAGTCACATTTTTGAAGTTTTGACTTGACCTGATGCACCTTTTGAAATAGCTATGTTTGCTTTCAAAACGCATGGTCCAAGTATGTATAAGTGGACCAAACTGTAAAGTCAAGTCAGCATAGTGAAGCAGATAGTGGTGTTTAGGTCTGAGATTTACATGTGGAAATAACTGTAGCCTCATTTCTACATATTCTTCGATCAGCACTTTCATGTAAGCAATCTGAGGCTCTGAAAGTCTAGGTGCACAGACAAATTCAACAATCTCCCTCAATAGTAGAACCAGTTGCCAAACAGCATTTTCAGCATCTGAAATTCGGTCATGCACCAGAAGAGGCAAGAACCTCAATAGCCACCAGTTTTGGGCTGCATGGCCTCCAAGCTTTGCTCCTTTGATGGGTAGAGCATTTGGCTTGTTGCTGCTTTCACCCGGAAATGATCTGAGTCTGTCATTTAGTGACTCGTAACTGAACCACATTTTCGTTTTAATTAAGTAGTTCAAGCACATCGCTAGGTCATAATCTACAACTCCCTCAAACAAATCATGTGCTAGGCAGGGTGGTAATCCAGGGTGACACACGTGGAAGTTAGACAATTTGTTGAAAACACTGCTGTGTTTAATGCCCTGATGCATGGTAACTTCAGGGTGTCTCTCCAAAAACTGCACAGACTCATTGTAATTGCCAGGATCTCTCTGAGTGACAACTGTAAGAGGGTTAGAGTGAAATTCATTTCTTGTCATTAAACAGTATCTACAGAAATACTCAGCAGAGCTAAAATTTTCTGTGAAACCACCAATCATGTGGGAGCCCAGGTTATCTCCCATTATGCATGAAACAGTGCCAGTATATATCTTTCCCTCAACAGATATGCCCTTTACCTCCAGCTCACACAAGTCTGACACAAGCTTACTGAAAATTCTGTCCACTCCAAAATATTTACAGTCTTTCTCTATACAGAGTAGTGCCAGCTGTATTTGATCAACAGTTGATCGGTTGTGTGGATAGAAATTTCCAAGAGTGAAGTACACAGCTAAAACTTTGTGCTTTTGCTTGGCAGATCCCAGAGGATTAGCCACCTCAAAGGCATCTTGAAAAAGCATCACCTTGAATGAGTCTGGGTTTGACACAAACATGGCGTTCGATCTAATGGCATGCCCATCAGTAAAATCACACAGTGTACCATCTTCAAGATGAAGATGGTTAAAGCTCTGCTGAGTTGCACTGCACTCTTTAAGCAGTGCACTGAGGCTTTTCAGTATTGGAATGTAATGATAGTGCCTCTTCTGTCCTCTATCATTGTAACCAAGTGTGACTTCAACAGACTGAACAAAGTTATAATGTGTTTTGTAATACTGCAACCGTCTATGGTGGGTGGTTAAAGGACCATTAGCATGTAAGGCCTTGTGCATAGGACTCTGCTCATATGCACTTTCCCCAAGACATCTTAAGGTCTCTGCTGAAACACCATACTGTTCAAGATCCCGAGACAACACATCAATTGTACATTCCTGTTGAATATCCTGAAGAATTTTCATTTCATTTGCTATCTTTGTAATTGTGGAGGCTGGAACTAACTGTTTAGCCTGCAAACCCAAGTAAAACTGAGCTAGACTACTTGTGTAGGCATCTTGCACTTCATTGTTACTTTGGTCTGCATTAATCGCGTCAATTTCTTCAGGTACACTATCAACATCATGTGCTTCCTCACCTGGAGAAGACTTCTGTTCTGCAGCTTCACATAGATGAACAGGTGTTATCTGGGTGACATCCCATCTTCTATGATATCTGGAAATATGAGATGTAAAGGATGTCTTTACATTAAAAGTCTTAGAACACCCATCAAAAGGACAAGTTACAGTCAGCCCCTCTTGTATGTGGCTACTCAAGTGAGACACAAGCCCTTTAACATCTGCATATTCATTACTGCACAAACTCATTGCACACTTTAATTGAACAGACACATTCCGGTTCCAAGTTTGCGTGGCACGCCTGTCTGGATGTGTTCTTGACATATGAACAGCAAAGCAGTTAAATGACGAAAACTTTCTTCCACAATCTTTATGGCCACACGAGAAAAAAACATTATTAACATGTCTGTGGGTTCTGCAGTGCTTCAGATATTCAGACAATGAAACGCATTTGAATTCACAAACACTACAAGTCAACATAACGATAACATTGCCTTATCCAAGTTAATCGCGCAAAAATCATCATCAGCGCGCTTAGATTAAAAACCTAACATTAACTGCTGCTGGTAACGTTAATCCACAGCTCACCTGAATGACCGATTCACGATCTGTCAAGTTAATAAAAGGTTTTACCGACAACTTACATTTCCTTGGTAGAAACGTTACGATAAAGGCCCTTACTGTCCAAAACACAAACAAATATTACAATTCATATGCTACTGCTAACTTTAATACGTCAGAACATGGGCCTACATGCTTAACACGGAACAATTTTGGATAAACGACACCACCAACAAATACAAGTTAATAATTCAATAGGGCACAGTAACATACATTCGCAAATATCAACTAAATCTGAATCTGCTAGCAATTACGTGTGAGGACAGGCAAAACAGTAAATTAACGTTACACGCAATGGATCCGACAAACGAGACAGATGTATAGCACCTAAAATAAAATACTAACGTTTCCAAACCAGATTATATGGCAAAACACATATATATAAAAACAAAAGTTTTACCACAGCAGCGTGAGGCTTATCCTTCTCCGAAATCTGACTGAAACGTTATGCCGTGCTCCTTGTATGAAATGGCGACTCTACTACGCATTTCGCGCCGACCGAGGTTCTTGGTCCCACAATGCAATGCGTAATTTCAAAATACGGGTAAAAGTCCCGTAAAAGACAAATACGGTAAATTCCTTCAAATTAATATGGTACATTGTACCGTATTTTTACGGATTTTTTTTACAGTGTAACATGACCTTAATTGTTAGGAAACTGGGTAAAAAACGATTGACTTACTACAAGCAAGAAATAAAAATACAGAAAATAGGAATTCCAAAAGCAAAACAAAATAACTTTGGAGAAGAACTGAACCAAATAAATTGGGATAATGTTACGAAAGAGTCCAATGTGAATCAAAGTGCTAATATCTTTGTCACTACAATAAGTAACACGATAAAAAAGTATACTAAAACATGGACAAGTAAACCAAGGAAATACTCTCTTCCATGGTTTAATGGTGATATTTGGCATACCGCACGTAAAACATCTTTGAAAACTAGAAACTGTACGGATCATCTAATTTACACTACACTTAGAAATCAAGTTATAAGCAATCTGCGTAAAGCTAAAATTGATTATTTTTCTAAAAAGATAGAAGAGGCTAATGGTAGTAGTCGTAAACTATGGCAACACAACCCTGCATAGAAAAAAACATGTTAGAATAGATTCTATCAAAGTTGATGGTACTCTTGTTAATAATAGTGACTCAATGGTGGGTGTTTTTAATATTTTTTATAGACTCTGTTTATGAACTAGCAAATAAATTCAACAATAAGGTGACATGTGTTGAAGAAGTTAATTTAGTTAATGCAAGCTTGTTTAAAATTCAAGAAATCTCTTCTAAAAGACTGAAAGACTCCGCAGCTAAAGACATACACAACATAAGTATGACCCTGATCAAAAAACATCAGGACAGTCTGTTACAACCAATTACGCATTTAGTTAATCTCTCAATTCGGTTAAGTACATTTCCACAGTGCCGGAAGCCCGCTGTGATAACACCAATCCACAAGTCAGCGGAAAAGGATACACCCAATAATTATAGGCTGATTGCAATTTTGTCTCTAAAATCCTGCAGAAGGTTATTGCAGAACAACTTATTGAACATCTTGAGTCAAACCAGCTGCTGCATCCTCAACAGTTTGGTTTTAGGCGCAAATACAGCACTGAAACAGCTAATTGTTACTTGCTAGAGAAGATTAAAGGGCCTCTAGATAAAGGGCAAGTAGTTGGTGCGGTATTCTTAGACTTTGACACAGTGGATCACAGTGTGCTTATTAACAAACTCCAGCTCTTCAAAATGTCACCTAGTTCATTAGCTTGGTTAAAATCATATCTTGAGGATAGACACCAGTGCGTAAAGGTAAATGGGGTGATGTCAGCTCTTTGCCCTAACAATATGAGGGTTCCTCAGGGACCAGTGCTGGGGCCGTTGCTGTTTACAATGTAGATCAATGATTTCCCTGATAGCTGCAAAGATGTCAACTGCCAGATGTATGCAGATGACACAGTTGTCTATCTATCTGCTAGAACCTCAACAATAGCTGCGTAGAAGCTGACACTAGCCCTAACAGATATCTCAAAGTGGTTTGAGTCTCACCTGACCTTAAATGTGAGAATTTGTTTCTCAAATAAAAAACGACCCTTAGATAGTACTTTTGAAGTAAGCATAAACAATGAAATCATTCAAGAAGAAAAAGAGGTTAAATATCTTGGGATAATTATTGGCAACAATCTCAAATTTCAGAGTCAAGTCAAAAATATTTGTAAAAAGGTTAAATCTAATCTGAATTGTTTCTGTTTTATTAGGAAGGAATTATCTTTTCAGGCCGCCCGGTTATATATGCATGCAATTTTTTTTTCACATCTGTCCTATTGCGTAACATCTTGGTCACAAACATCCCCGTCAATACTTCAGCCGGTTGTTTCATAGTACAAGCAGGCAGTCAAGGTTTTTGATAGAAAACCTGTGACATCGCATCACTGTGACATAATTCATAGACCTAGTCTTTTTGCTTTTGAAAATTTTATAAATTTTAGTATTTTGAAATTGGTTTTTAAATGTCTGAACAGCAATGTGTCGCCGCTGTTTTCTGCTCTCATTCGTAGGCGTCAAGGTTCACTTAGACCATCCACCAGAGCCTCAGTCAGTGGGGACTGTGTTCTTCCAAAATTTATGAAATTTATCGGTCAGTCAAGTTTCAAGACAGACATGACCAGCTTCGAAAGAGCTGCACACATGTTAATGCTGTATAAAATGTATAGTGATGATTTGTATTGCTAATCTTTGTAACTACTGTATTTTTTTTGTGTGTTGTGATTGGTGACATGTGTTGTCTCCTATGGACAAGTGTTGCAAATTAGCAATTTTGCTATAACACTGAAAACAAGGTATCTGGTTCGTCCAATGCTGATGTTATGTCCATATCAAATAAATAAATAAATAAAAATATGAGCTGGCGTAATGGAAGCGAGCGAGTGTTTGGACCATTCTCTGGTTCCAGAGGAAGATTCGCTTGAGTGACCCGGTTCTGCTGGTTCTGGTGCTCAGCGTGACCTTTCTGTTCGGCCTGGCAATGCTGCTCTGCAGGAACGAGCAGCAGCGGAACCACCCGGAGAACCAGGAGGATGTGCGTGTGGTGCGAGAACAGCTTCAGTCCGAGGAGGGCTCGTCTGCGGTTCTACTCGGACATGTCGTGTCCCGTGTGTCTCCAGCAAGCGGTTCTGCCTGTCGAGACCAACTGTGGGCATCTCTTCTGCGGTCCGTGTATTCGTACTGGCGTTACAGAGCGTGGCTTGGCGCCTTCAACTGCCCCATCTGCAGGCAAATGGTGACCCTGCTGTTCCCGCTCTTCCACGACGCCGGTCCCAGCGCTGCGACTGCGGACGGGCAAGTGGAACCGGTTCTGATTCTCACAGACATCAGCGATTACAACCGCAGGTTCTCCGTGCAGCCGCACTCCCTTCTGGACTGGCTCCGGGACCTTATGTCGATAAAGCAATAATTGTTGGATATTTTAACATACATATAGAAAATACAAATGATGCATTAGGGGCTGCGTTTACCGATTTATTAAACTCCTTGGGGTCAAGCAAAACGTCAGTGGTCCCACTCGTCTCAATCATACACTAGATTTAATTATATCATATGGAACCAATCCAACTGATATCGATATTATACCGCAAAGCGACAATCTCACTGATCATTACATGGTGACTTGCATAATACGTACTGCTGAAATATGTCATGTTGCGCCACGTTATAGACCAGGAAGAACAATCCTTCCAACCTATTGCGTGTAATTGATACGCTTCTGTTGAATATTTACTTTATAGAAATGATTTTGGGTCTTCGAAAAAGTCCGTTAGCATCTCAACCGTTTTCAGAAGAGGCTAAGTTAGCTAAGGTAAGTTACTCTGAAGCTGTTTTGTATAAGTTTGGGGTTTTATCTTTGTGTAGATAATAATTTTTGACAGTTTTTTTGCTGGTAATTGTCAATGGGTGATTGGAAGTAACGTTAAGCTAATTTATTAGCCTAAAATAATGCGATGTATTATTAATCAGTGACGTCACTTAACGTGACAAAGATTGATTAAAAAAAGTGATTTCATGAGGAAAAAACGTCCACAATAAAAGGGGGATTTATTGTTTATTCATGATAGTAATGTCATATGCATTTATTTAATAATATTTATGTATATACGTTCTCTTTTCTGCATTTCACCTCTCCAGATAGGTGAAATGCAGCAAAGAGAAAGTATATATGCTTGCTTCCTTGTAATAAACCCTATGTTCTAATCCTATGTAACATTGTTGGCTGTGACACATTGCATGTTATTTTCTAAGATCATGTTGATGTCCTAAGTTACTGCACCCCCTGTCCAAGACAATCTCCACGGCTATGAACTCGACTAGTAAGCAAAACCTGAAACATACTGTACTCTACTGTTCAAAAGTTGTAGGTCTGTAGGATTTATGCTTTTGAAAGAAGTCTTAACCCCAGTTTTATTTTTTTTAAGTGAGATTGTCCTTAAGAAGCCTTTAGGCTAAATAATAGATGGCAAATATCATGTTATAACGGTCATAGTTATAATAATGAATTTAACTATTATGATGATAACAGAATATCATGGTCATTGGTATTTTTATTGTATTTCTCTAGGTGTGTTTTGAAATAAGTTGGCCAATGAGACATCGTACTGTCCAACTCAAAGGTATTTTTTTACTGATAAATACTGAAATTCTTTTTACTTTTAAATGCTGAATTCAGGGGGTCGACAACTTTAGGTACCAGTGGCCAGTTTACTCATGGCTCATACTCTTAGCCTTTAAAATGTTTGAATTTATATCTGCAATACAATATTTGCAATATTAACCCTATCAGGGGGTAAAGATATCATTAGAGCTCTTTAAGGAGTAGTTCACTTTTGAAAGCTTTTGCTGATAATTTACTCACCCCCATGTCATCCAAGATGTCCATGTCTTTCTTTTTTCAGTCAAAAAGAAATGAAGGTTTTTGATGAAAACATTCCAGTATTTTTCCAGTATTTTCTCCATATAATGGAGTTCAATGGGAACGGTTCAAGGTCCAAATGAGAGTTTCAGTTCAGCTTTAAAAACACCAGACAATGAATAAGGGTCTTATCTAGCGAAACAATCGCTCATTAATAAATAAATAAAAAAGTTTAAGTTTTATGAGCACAAATGCTTGCCTTGCTCTGTTCTGTGATGAGCGTTCGTGACTCTCCTGTTTGAACTCGTTCATCAAAATGAACTAATCTTTTTTCGAGTCATGACTCAAAGGGTCCTTGATAAGACCCTTATTCATCATCTGGAATCGTTTAAAGCCCTTTGAAGCTGCACTGAAACTGTCTTTTAGACCTTGAACCGTTTTGTTCAACAAAATGTTAACAAAATTACAAATGTGGGGCCTTTGGTGAATGACTGCAGATTGCTGTTGCATATATCTAAATCATATATTTTTCTGCTTGTGTAGGAGGGATCATGAAATTTGATTCTGCAGCCACAGAGAAGTAAATCAAGATGCATGTTTCTGAGCACCTCAAGCACACGCCGCAAAGATTGTGAGGTGGAGGATTGACAACTGCCTGATGAGCCAAGACGAGAGGACTTGAATTATAAATTAAATTACAATCTAGTTATTTGTTCATAATTGTGCTTTACTGTTGCCCTTCAATGACAATCTTATTATTTGTTCATAATTAAATTAAATTACAATTTTACACTACAGTGTTCAACACCTGTTATAGATGTGTAAAGGCATGAATTAATCATTTACACTTTCTGCATAAAGTGTGAACTATTCATCACTTGTAAATGTCTTACACTACATTCATAGAGATCTACTAACTAATTATTTGTTCATAATTGTGCTAGATATATTTGGTGCCCTTCAATTACAATCTAATTATTTGTACATAATTCTGCTTGATATGTCCGGTGCCCTTCTGATGCTATTCATGGCAATTTATTTTTGAATAAAGATTAAAATGGTGATTATTGAATTGTGATTTATTTGTATGTGTATAACTGTAATGTTGTACAGTTATACAAGTTAGAAAAACGACGTCTAATATAAGTCTAAATTTGACGTTGAAAAGACGTCCATAAGTAACCACATTTGGACTATAAATAGCCCTTACACGGAGGTCCCACAGACGTCCAAATTAGACGTGCGGTTGACGTCGAAAAAAAGACGTCGTCTGGCGTTACAAAACAACCCCTTCATTGGACCGAATTTGGACGTCCAAAAATGACACGAAAAAGACGTCACATCGACGTCACGTTGCGCAGTGGGAACAGAGAGTGATGTGGGCCCAATTTTGCATTGTTAATGTAAAAAAGGTAACATGTTAAAGGCTGTGATAAATGAGCACTGTAGGACCAGGCCTGCTTACAGAGGCCCTGATTGATTGACCTTCACGGAGTCGGAGAACATGGAGGAACCAAGGAACATGTACACACCTTGAAAATCACTGCCATCACTTATGTGTGAAAGGCTAAGAAACAGTTGCGCTCAGTTTGCAAGCATAAGAACACTTTGCAGGTCATACAACGCACTCGGGTTCTTCCGGTGCAGCCTAGTTGTCTGCAGCGCATTGCATTTTTCAGACTGATTATCTCTGGGAGGTGGGCATTAGCCCTCCTACGGACCGAGACATGGGGCAACTCTGTCACATGACGTTTCACTCCCTGGTTTGAATGTTCTTCTTCCTCTGACTGTGCCGAAAGGTCTGCATCTGCACTGTGATGCTGGGCCAAAAGGGTCATAGCCACTTCCATGCGGAACTGAAGGAACTGGATCGGTCTTGTTTTTGGTCCAGCACATATTGCATGGTCTTTTCGGTAGAGTAGCCAGCTGTTGGCTAAAGCCAGATCCGTGAAGTGCATTACCATCCGCATTGTCCACTTCTTAGTACGGGTGCTCATGCGATAGTTACTTATCATTCTATCCATCAAATCAACTCCACCCATCTTGCTGTTGTACTCGCGGATAATGCTTGGTCGCGAGACAGTGACATATTGTTTCTTTTTCTTGTCCCAGCGCTGGCAGGTGTCTTCTGGCTGTCTACCATGAACAACAGACACCAACAATACTGGTTTGTTGTCGTACCACTTCACTACACACAACTTTCCATCTCCAGCAGAAACTTCTGAAGAGGTACCTCTTCCTGCGTTTTTCATGGCTTTGTCACTGGGTAACTTATGCTTCACTTCAGTGAGTTGGTTCTTTGTTATTGTACCAGTCATGTACAGCTCTTTGTCCATCATTCGTTGCACACCTTTGATGGTGGTAAAGAACCGGTTACAATACACCTTTGTGCCACGATGCAGAGTTTGGCACAGACGCTCGATGACTAAGTTTCCCAAACTCAGGCCCTCTGGTTCTTCGACCTTCTCGATCAGTGAACCTGTGCCTTGATACAGCTCAAAGTCAAGTACAATGCCATCTGCTGTAGCACATAAAAAGTTCTTTATGCCAACTGGGTTCGGCTTCATTGGCAGATATTGTCTGCACGGACAGGCTCCTGTGAAAGGAATCATCTGCTCACTAATAGATGCGCAATCAGGTCGATTCAGAGACAAGCAGCCTCGCAGAATCCGATCCAGAAAAGGCCTCACCTTCCAGAATTTGTCCGACATTTTCAGGTCTTCTGGCACATCATGATCAATAACCACTTTTATTGCTTCCCTCAGTTTGAAGAATCTGGAACGTGTGAATTTGTCAGTGATTGCAGTGATTTTCAAGGCTTTGGACCAGTACATCCTAATGGTTGGGTATCGGATGCAGGACATAAAAATACAGGCACCAAAAAAGTGGTAAACCTCATCTACTGTCATGTTAAGTGGCTCCCCACTCTTAGACAGTGACATAATATTAGAGCATTCTGCAATCGTCATCATCAAATCTCTATCGATGTAATGTTCTAAATAGTCTAGTGGGGTCCAGCCATGTCTGTCTAGATCAGTTTTGTCCTGATGCTGATACTCTGTCAGTTTTGGCGTCAATTGAGTAGCCTTCCAGCGTAGTCCATGTCCTGCACAACCAGAATCAGAATAAAAATAGTATTTATTTTTGGAAGTTACAATTTTTAATTGTATAAAATAAAATACGTGAATCTGTGTGGAAGTCTACATGAAATTTGAAGATTTACCCTCAAGGTGTGAAGGCCAAAAATAATAACAAGTACCTTGTTCAGAGTCTCCCTTTTTCTTTTTTGTTGTTTGACTTGGTCCTGGTGGCTCTTCCAAGTCATCTACTGAGCTGCCAGCTTCAATCTCTTGACTTTGACGGCGAGGTCTGTGAGTACAGCATGAACCTGTGCCTGCACCTGTCTCTGTCCCTGTCCATGATCCTGTCAACAAGTTTTGTAAATAAGCATTTTGTCTCCAATCCTTCACATAGCTCTAAGGCCTTAACTGCATAAAATAAACAAATATCTACTGGGTCTAGGCTAACCATTATCTGCGCTATCTGCATGTTTGCATCCTATGCTGTGGACAGTGGGCTCAGAAATGGGATTCTCATCATCACTACTGTCCTCACTGCTGCTTTTCTCATGTGGTGATGGTTGGTAATTGCCATCCAGGATGGGATCATCGTAGTCAGACACGTCCAAATCTGAGTTGTCTCCATCAATTAACCCAAGTAGATCCAATGCTCTTTGCACAGAAGAACACTCTGGAAATAAAAACATGATAAAATCAAATACGAATTAATTTTTCATTTATGTATGTAGGTTTTTTATTATTTATTTGTTATTTATTCCAATGGGATAATATACAAGCTAATTTACATGTGCACATTTTTACTAGATTATTACATTTTTACTAACATTTTCAACCCAACTAATTTAAATATGTGTGTATGTACTTAGTGATTTATTGTTATTTATTTCATTGGGACCATGTACAGCTTTTTAGCTGTATCAAAGCTAGCTTTCTTCCCATTTTACGTGTGTGCATGTTTACTAGCATATTAGCTGTTTCAAGGAGCATCAGTCCATAAGTACACAAACGTGTACTTCATGTTTAGTGACCTACAAAAGTTGCTAGTTTTACTTTTTTTTTTAAAAATAAAAAATTGCATGTCACAACAAATATACAAGGCTTTTTATAAATAGCTAAATCAGAATAAGCCATGAAATGTGACAGAACTTTTTTACCTGGTCGACGTTTGTGTATTTTCCCTCGTTTTCGCTGCAATTTGAATTTTGACAGTAGTGTGTTATTAATTTCTGACACCAACAGGTGCAGTATAAGTACCCCCATATGTGTCCATAACACCACATATTCAGCAGTGAACACAATTGTGGACATAAGAACTAAAATGTGCTATCCACATATGTGGCCACTAAGGCCTTGGAGGTTAATGACGTCATGGCGTCCTACTTGCGTTCTATCTGCCCAATGTGTTTTCTCTCTAAATTAATGCTTTATTTAATATAATATAATATAGCTGAATGTCAAATAAAGCATTCACATTTTTTTGTCAGACAATGGAACGAGTAGCTATGATATATGGAGCTTTTCCATTACCAGTACCGGCTCAACTCAGATAGCTTTTCGCGCCGTTTTCGATTGAAGACAGTACCGACAAAAAAAAAAGAGTACCCTGTTGTCATAGCGACGCCTTTCGTTCCTCGTTGCCCCATCAAGCTCTCACTGGATGCTCTTCGGTAACCAAACAAAGGAAAGTCTGCACCTCCTTGTTTGACCACGGCGTATTCTTCCGAGTTGCCATAATAATAGTGTTAAGTTTAGTAACTATCTCTGGCCAAACTATTTAAACATGGCGGGGTTATTCTGGATACTCCATCTGGCGCATGTAATGATGATTATAATAATATAATAATAACAATAATAATTAATTAACAATTAATAATAGTAAATAATTATCTGTCTCCTCTCCACCAGTTAGCTGGTGTGTGGTGGGCGTTCTGGCGCAATATGGCTGCCATCGCATCATTCGTCTAGAAAGGCGCTATATAAATGTAATGAATTAATAATGAATTATAATTACTTCATCTGGTGCGTGTAATGATGACAGTGAATGGTGACGGTTCCCTCTGACCAATCAGCACTCTGCATTGTTTTGACATTTTAGTGACATTTTACGTGACATTTTAGTATCGCCTTAGCTCGCTCAGAACCTCGCCGGAGGTGGTACAAAAAAAAGTACCCAAAAGCAGGTACAGGTACAACTTTTATACACTGGAAAACCAAACAAAGCCGAGGCGAGCCGAGTCGAGCTAGTACTGTGTAGTAGAAAAGCGCCATTGAATGAATGACTAAATTTTTTATAGGCCTAAATTATGTGGAAAATTATCTGAATTGAGAGAGTTCGGGAACCGGATGAACTAAAGCTCCGTGATTATGAGTATTACAAGTAATAATCACAAGAAAAGAAATTAAAATGGTCAAACTAAATTCTTTAAACATAATACAAAAGAAAAAAAGATAAGTGATGAGTCTCATTCGCATCTGTCAGCAGCCTCTCAGCCATTCACTGAACAGGGGAGACGCAGCTTGAGAGAGTGACGAAAGGGAGAAAGCAAGACCTCGTGCTCATAGGACAATACTGGCAATAAGTGGAGGATATTGAAGTTTGTCCAAAAAGTCGCTAAATTTGTTGCTAGTCGATTTTTTGAAAAAATTACGCAAAAAAAAAGCAACAAAGGTGCTAAGTTGGCAAGACTGCCTCCTCCATCCCCAGCTCCTCCTTTCGTCAGTCAGATCTAGTATGCTGATTCCTCTTTGAATCAGACTAATTTCTCAAATTATGTTCTACATAAAAATATTGAAAATAACCTGAAGCGTTTTTTTGTTTCAATAGTTCAAAGTTACTATCAGATTTACTATCAGATTTTACCTTGACAAACTATACATATATCTTAAAAAGTTATAAGACTCAAGTTTCAGTATTTGACCACTTTTGTATTTCGGAGAAACCTATAGTGACAGTTATGTCTTAATTTGTGTCAGGAGTTATGCAATTAAAAAATGAGTCGATCTCTTTAATATGAATTATGAGCGTCAAAACAAACAACTCCTGTGGTGTCGTCAGGGGCGCAACTACCTATTGTTAGAGGGGTATGCAGAAACAATTTTGACACTGCTAATGGCCGTGTCCTTTGAGATGTTCACTGTTGCATTGCCTTGCTGACATAGGTGATCTCTGACAGTAGATCATACCAAACCAGGAGGCACATGAGGAACTGCATGCTGACAATCTCGCCAGACAGCGATTTTGCCTCTGAGACAGTTTTGCCATCTTTTTCCACTTCCTCAAGCTTTTCCAAAGCATCAAGAATCCGCCCTAACTGGAAACGTACAGCTTTTATGAAGTCTATTTTGCTTCCCACCTGCTATCACTCAGAGGCTTCAGTGTTATGTCCACAAATTCTTTCCGAATATCCCACCTCTTCACTGAAGCCGAAAACATGGTGTACAGTCTTTGGAGAGTGCCAAAAAAGGTTAGACACATTCTGTTTGATGACGCATCACCACATAACAGAAGGTTCAGACTGTGGCTACAGCAGGGAATAAATAGTGCCTCAGGAAACTTCTCCTGCACCAATGCTTGCACACCCTTGTGTATACCCCTCATATTTGAGCCAGTCATAGCTCTTCCCCCTAAAGTTAGCCAACTCCAACCCCAGGTTATCCAGTACCCCAGTCAGTGTTTCTGTGAGGCCAACAAAAGACTCATTGATGGTGGCATTCTTCTTGTCGTCTGTATGAACATACCGGATTATTACGGAGGCCTGCTCCTGTTTTGAAATGTCAGGTGTGCAATCCAACTCCACAGCAAAGTACTTGGAGGCTTTGACATGGGCACAAATTTGACCAAGTACACTTTCTGAAATTAATTCTAAAATTCACTTTGAGTGCACCAGGTAAGATATCCTGTGGTTTCTTTAGAAGCTACCTTCCTAAGATGCTCTGCTAGTGTGAAATCACATTGTGCTATGACCTCAAGGACACCCAGGAAATTTCCATTTTTAGGATCTCCTAACTTAGCGTTCTTCCCCCTTAAGGCCAATTTATACTTCTGCGTAGGGTGCGCGCAGTAAGTACGGCGTAGCATACGCACAGACGCGTCCCATTGCGCGTACCCTTCGCCGTCGCCTGACGCGCACCTCCTCAAAAATGTAACTACACGTCGCGACGACGCGGACCGCAAGATCGGTGATTGGTCGGCTTGGTATCATCGCATTTCCTCCTACGCATTTCCGCACGTACCTTCTCACGCATTTCCACCACTGTCTATGATTTCCACACGTACCATCTCCTCCGACGTCTTCTCTCATTTCTGCCTTTCAGTTTTAGTAATTTCACTAAAGTGAACTGTTTTTCCACCTCAATAAGCTCCAAATCCAACATGATCAGCTCTCTTTCAATCGCTATTGCTTGTAGTAACCTAGCCGCGAGGAATCTAAACACATTAAACTCCGCCGCCAACTAGCGTTTCGGAGCAGTACTGCAGAGCAACCAAGACCTGAACGCAGAAGTATAAATGCTCATAACGGCGTCGCCTACGTGCGTAGCCAACGCCGCACATTACGGCGTACCCTCGACGCAGAAGTATAAATTGGCCTTTAGTGGCAAGTTCCTTTCTGCAAGGAAGAGTATGCAGTCAAGCACTCTTGTTAAAGGAGAACTCCGGCGAACAATGAACCTTTGGTCTAATAAAACATCGGTACAAAGTCAACCGTTCTCTGAGATTTGTTTTCATGATAATCGAATGTAAAGAGTTTTATCTCTTAAAGGGTTTGTTCACCCAAAAATGAAAATTAAGTCATTAATTACTCACCCCCATGCTGTTCCAACCCCGTAAGACCTTCGTTCATCTTAAGAACACAAATAAAGATATTTTTGATTGAATCTGAGAGCTGGATCACTCTTCCATTGGCTTCCTAAGGGACTGGCTCTTGACGGCCCATAAAGTCATTAAAGAAAATGTTTAAATGTTCCATGTGCCTACAGCGGCTCAACTATAAGTTTATCAAGCGACGAGACTACTTTTTGTGCGACTTAACGACTTAATTCGACTATTCCATTACTTCCTTATTGGCGCATGCGCGAGAACTAACCCTTTAAAACTGTTTAGCGTATAATGCTAGTAATGGGGGCATTGACTAAGTAAAAAGAAATCGCTAGTTTATACGACTAACAAGGCTCAAAATATCCCCACACTAACGCAGTAACATAATGAGGCTCCATACATGCAAACAAAACATTGAGAACTTTGTAAGTGTACAGACCGTTTAATAAGAAGATATTTTATGAAGACAGTCACTTCGAGTATACAGACAGAAGCAATCTTAGGAAATAGTCTCGATAAGTCAAACCACGAACGTTGTGCTGAGTGATCTGAACTCTATGAAGTTCAGCGAACTTCTGAACTGTATGAACGGCGTTCGGGGATCGACTTATCGAGACTATTTTTTAAGATGGCTCCTGTCTGTATATGCGAAGTGACTGTCTTCATAAAATATCTTCTTTCAAGTATCACAACCCTGTTCCTGGAGGCAAAATCAATCCACACACCTAATTGGCCAAAAGATCACATTTCTAATCCAATGTGATCATCCCTGTGTTGTGACTGCAGCAGTCATTAAAGCAAATAAATTAGATTTATGCCACTGACTGTATAAAACTCCCAAGCTCTTACATGACAAAGACATGCACCACAAGGCAGTTAAAGGGTAACTAAACACCAAAACAACTTTTTTTAGTTAATGATCTGTAAGAATGGAGCTTCATAAATGCTGTTCATTGATTCGAGTACATTTTTTGACAATTGAGTATAAAGTGTTTTGATTTTCAAATATATGGTGTAAAAACGTCTGAGTGCTGCCCTCTTCAGGTTAAACGGAAAGCTCCTACAGTAGGGGTACTTGCTGACGTAGCGAACTCTCAGACGCACTCTGTCACACCCTTGGTGCGAGCTCACCACGCCCTTGGCAGCCCCTGGTATAAAAGCATCTGGTTCCGTCAAAACTACTGTAGCGAGTCAGGAGTTGGATTTATGAGTATTGAAAACGATCAGGATAGCATATAATAGCATCTAGTTAGTTAATCCTCTGGGGTCGACAAACGAGCCGGTGCATTTTGCTGGATTTTTTTGTGTTTGGATTTTTTCATAATATCAATATGAATATATGCCAGCGTGCGCTATTGAGATCAACTCGACGACATAACTCATCAGATGCCGGTCGCGATGCGGGAGTTAAGACCGCAGTTTGAGCCAGCAGCTCGAATGGATTTGGCCCTGTGTCTACATACAATTCACCCTCATCCACTTCAGGTGAAGGTGAAGGTGAGGGAGAAAAGTCCTCGACTTCAAATGGCCGCTCTGTTGCAAAGGCAGCTACTTGAGTCACTCCAGTCTCGCTCTATTTTAGAGTCTGACAGCAGCTGTCACTCACGGCGGGTCTCAGGTGCACACCCCCTGGCCCCGCTGGGGTCTGCCCATTTTTTCAGCATTTTTCAAATATTGCTAGTGGGTGGAGTCAGGCTCTGACCAGGGGTTTAGTTACCCTTTAAATAATATGGTCATGTGATCTCAACATATCTGTCCACACGAGGCGACCCGCTCCATGTCAAATAAAACCTCTTTAATTATGACACTCAGATGACATTCTTTAAACATTTCTGTAGAGAAGGATGTTTAAAATAAGATCAGCTTTGAGAATGAAACCAACCTGTTCGTTCCTCTGTGTCTTGTTTTACTCTGAATATTTCTTCAGTCTTCATGTCTTCAGTCTCCTCTTTAATAATTATCATATTTGTTTGTTCCTCGGTATCTTCATGTTTCACATTGAAGGTTTCTTCAATCTTCATGTCTTCACTCTCCTCTTTAATAAATGCCATCTTTAAGATAGTGTCACGTGGATCTCATTCACTTCACCAGGAGTTTTCTGTGTGTTTGGACACTCTGTCATGATTAAGATGAGAATAATTAACATAAAGAAAAATAAATCCAAACAAAATCTATGGGTGTGTGCATCTCAGGTATGTAAGATACGTTTTGGTCGAGAGGATCACACGGCGAGGGAGACAAATTCCCGTTTACTCCAGGGGCCTGATGTATTGCGCGCACACAAAAAAGGCATTTTAATTTGCATATGCAATTTTGTACGTATCGGAATATAAAAAACTAGCTGTAAATATGTGCACGCCGTATGGACACTCTAGACCATGACATGCTTAGGCACTCTTTCACTGAAGTGAGCAAAGTAAACAGAATGATTTAAACTTACATTTGATTGATATACACATTTAGACTAAATATATCACTCTCATTAATGGAGTTAAGCACTGAAATTCCATGAAATTTCCAATCTCTGATGACGCAGTAGTTGTTGTGTAGGCCTACCCAGACAGCAAACTGACATTGAATCAATGTGGAAACAACGTCTCTCATGACATTGAAACAATGTTGATTTGCTCATCGAATTAACGTTGTACCAACGTCAGTTGCGGCATTCTTCAAAGCTAAATGAAATCGAAAATTGGTTTGCTTTCATTACGTTGAAACAACGCGTTGATTTCAAGTTGATTTTCCGTTAGTTTTGAAAGAATGACGTGTCTGACGTTGGTTCAACGTTAATTCGATGAGCAAAACAATGTCAGATCAACGTTGTTTCGATGTCATATTTCCACGTTGATTCAATGTCAGTTTGCTATCTGGGTAGGCTATAACTTTGGTAAAAGGTTTGGATCCACTTCAAACGTTGACTACTGGATCTCTTTCAATGCTTTTCTCTTGCAGAATCCTTACTTTAAAAAAAATCTTATTTTAATGATCATATTTAGTGAGTAAAAATACTGTTATTTATCAAAAAAAACAATACAAACAAAAAAAAAAACAGAAAAAGTACAACAAATGTTGCTAAAGTGATTGTTTTGAATAAGTATTAAATTAGACATTATTAAAAATATTACTTTAGCTAAAGTATTTGTATCAATAATTTATGCCTTTTGCCTGTGTGGGGGGTGAAATGCCCCTCTCGCCATCTCATACATTTGAGTTTTTAAACAAAGCACTTTTATGATTTATTTTCACACAAAATCAGTTACTCCATCAATGTTCAATAATATATATATATATATATATATATAATATATATATATATATATCATAAGCTATAGAGTAGTGAAAGACTATTTTTTCTAAGGTGTGCCTTTTGTGTACCCTGTCCCTAATCATCATAGTTGACATGTAAAGTGCGTGAGATGCGACAGCTACATCAGCGTACCATAGACTACAAACACACTTGAATGAGAATCTCTTCGAGATATCGAGATACCTTTTTAGTCCCCTCAGTCACACAGTTTTGAGGACTGTAATTGGGAAGCCCAGCTCTAACCTGTTCACAAAAGCACGTGAAGTATGCCAAGCGGGACAGGGTCACTACCTGCCAGTGACTGAATTCGGGTTTACGATGTAACGTTACTGATTTAAACGCACCCTCTCTGTTTACAGCGCTTCACTCACAAAAATAACGTTCATTATTGTTAGACGAAGCATTACAATTTTCCATTAAAAAAATAATCAATTCATTTTACATCACTTGCAAAAATTACTATACATCAATTTAAACACTTTTAATGTTTAAAAACCACACACCTTTTATTTCTTCATCCAAATCTTAGACGCAGCATCGTGGCGCAGCATTATGACGTCGTTTTACCGGACCAAAATAATAGTCCTGTTCACTACAATCACAAAAGCGCATAGAAAGAGCATGCGATTCGGGGTGCAGTGTTCACTGATCCTATTTATTCCATCAATATGGCATTCAGCCGATTTACTCAACAACATAACAGGGGCTTAGACACAAATGTACACAACAGTTTTCAACATAATAATAAACGTGTATCGAGCTGCAAATCAGTATATTAGAATGATTTCTGAAGAATCACGTGACACTGAAGACAAGAGTAATGATGCTGAAAGTTAAGCTTTGATCACACAGACATGTATAAATTATATATTTTTTAATTATATTCAAATAGAAAACAGCTATTTTAAATTGTGCAAATATTTCACAATATTACTGTTTTTGCAGTATTTTGGATCAAATAAATGCAGCCTTGGTGAGCAGAAGAGACTTATTTAAAGAACATTAACCTCTTAAGTGTCACCCCCCTTTTTGAATATACATATACTCATTTAAAACTTAAATGGTTGTAATTCAAGAATGCTTTTGAAGACATCATGTTTTAAAGAAGACATTTGGCAGAGTTTTGTTGAAGTGAAATAAATGAAATGAAACAGAAAAAAAGTTATAGAAGTTTGAGTTTATGTAAATGTACAATGTGAAAAAATATATTATTCATATTTTAAATTATTTATATATTTAATATATCTATTGGGCTACTTTAAAACTGCAAAAAACTGCAGGTTGATATGTAAAAAAAAAAAAAAAGAGTTTTCAGTGAAATTTTGTTTGGATGCAGTACCAAACTTTTTTACTAGATGACAACCAGACTCCATTACTGGCCAAATAAGGGCACCTCCATTTCCATGTGTTCTGAGTGAAATGAACCATTATTTCTACAATTGTCGTACAATTTATGAAGTAGACATCCTATTCAAAAGTAATATGGAAGTTTGGCAGATTTTGATATGAATTCAACCTTTAAAGGAACACTCCGACTTTTTGGGACTTTAGCCTATTCACCTTACCCCCCAGAGTTAGATAAGTCCATACATACCTTTTTCACCTCCGTGCGTGCTATAAGTCTGTTTGACGCACCCACCGCTAGCCTAGCTTAGCACAAAGACTGGATGTGAATGGTTGCAGCTTTCATACTAATCCAAATGAGTGACAAAATAACGCAAACGTTTTCCTATTTACATGTTGTGGTTTGTATAGTCACAGAGTGTGCAAATATCAAGGCCATATGAGACACAGACATCTTTTGACCGTATAAATACTATATTTTCTGAAGGGGAAGCACTGCTACTTGGGCAGAGTGATAACAATCACCTGAGACGCACCGTGACGAGGAGCAGAGAGTTCGCTTCGCTCAGCGTTGGAATAAAGAGTCAGCAATTACTAACGTTAGATAGAAAAGCATAGTTTATCATGGGTGTTTGCTTTATTGTATGAGCTGTGACAATAAACAGGGGAGACCAGGTAATACAGTACCATGTTTCATTGATTTCCAACCAAAAACGCACCCAGATTTATAAATATCATGAATAAATAATTATTATTACAGGAATCAATATATTTTAAATGCAATTTATTAGCTGAACCAAATGTATTCAACAGTAGCCTATATAATATACAGTATTGCATTACTATAGGATAGAATAAGGGGAAAGTAATAGCACAAATTGTTTTTGCACAATGAACTCACAGCCTATCCTACCCTTTTGCACGCTCAAGTTCGTTATTTCCATGGTTATTTCAAATTTAGGCTACTAGGCGCGCCGCGCGCAGGGTGCAAGTTCAACGCGCTCGTTTTTTTCCCCAAGCGCGTCCGCACCGCATCAAGATAAAAACATATTCATACCCTAATCATATAATAGTGTCACTAACGTTACATTAGATCTGGCTAAAGGCACTGTTACAGTAGGTCATCTAAAAACATAACACTTACCTCAGCCGCAGGTGATCCACTTGTCCTGTCTGTGCTATCGATGGGATGGCCGTATCCTTCAGCACATTATGGTCCGTGTGGCAAATTCCATTTTTTCAAAATAGTCGTCCTCATTGAAATGTACCGAGCAAACATAATGTCCCTTGATAATCTTAGGTGTGTTTGGATAAATATCCAGAGTAAGTTAGCCATTTCTTCATCCAGTCAGCGTTTTTAGTTGGAATTCTGTGAAACATGGTATTACCTCCCCTGTTTACAGTCGCAGCTATTTACAATAGAGCGAAAACCCATGACTCTAAACTACGCTTTTACTATTTATAAATTGCTGACTCTGTTACCCAAACACCGAGCGAACTCTCCGCTCCTCACCACGGCGTGTCTCCGGTGATGCGGTTATTACGCCGTCAAAGTAGCAGTGCTTCGCCTTAAGAGAATAGTTCCCAGGTTTTATACGGTTAAAAGATGTCTGTGTCTCATTTGACTTTGTTATTTGTACATTATGTGACTATACAAATCACAACATGTAAATAGGAAAACGTTTGCGTTATTTTGCCACTCATTTGGATCAGTATGAAAGCTGCAACCAGTCACATCGAGTCTTTGTGCTAAGCTAGGCTAGCGGTGGGTGCGTCAAACAGACTTATAGCACGCACGGAGATGAAAAAGGTATGTATAGACTTATCTAACTCTGGGGGGTAAAGTGAATAGGCTAAAGTCCCAAAAAGTCGGAGTGTTCCTTTAAGAAACATAAAAAGAACATGTATGCGCATTATAGCCTGCTGCCACATTACAAATGGTGAATATATAATTTTTTTCTTTATATTTTCACCAGCCCGGCCAGCCAAGAGGTCCCGTAACCCCCAGCATCAAGCAGCACCTCCACCTACAGAGCAGCCAGCTCCACTGTCTTGGAAATTGGAAAAAAGAATTTTCGTCACCAAGTCCCCGTCACCAAGTTTCAACCAGCGCGAACACCAGGGCCACAGCTCAGCTCCACTTCCACATATACACCCTCTTCAAACTTTTCTTCCCTGTACAAACCATACAAACACTGTGCAAAAACACAAAGCAGGCTGCTAAACAAATGGCACAGGGAAAGAAATATTAATTGTAAATGTGAACATTGGGGAGTTTTACAAAAACATTGGACTGCTTTTGAACATGGCCATGGTGAAACTCGACATCACTGGTGAATACTGGAGACAGTATCACTTCTTTTCGTTGCCATTTCTAGTACAGATCATGCCACGGGACATATACAGAGCACTTTCTTGGAACCTTCAACCATGACAAACTTTTCAGACTGAAACCCCTGATGAACACCATTAAAAATGATCATCCTCACAGAGATATGGCTGTGGATGAAAGAATGGTTGTACCGAATAACCAAAACTGGGATGACACAGTACATGAAGGCAAAACCGATAAAGAGGGGATTCAAGTTGTTTGTCTTGGCAGACTCACAGAATGGCTATACATTGGAGTTTTACGTTTACACCGGCAAAAGTGACATACCCTCTGGCCTTTCCCATGATATCATGATGTCCCTGGTACAACCAGGTTACCTTGGCACGGGCTACCAGATTTAGATGGAGATTTATTTTTCTAGCCCCAAGCTCTTCAGTGCTCTCCATGAGCAAAAATGTGCTGCCTGTGGGACCTACAGGGAGAACCGCAAAGACAACAAATAAAGCTCTCACAAAGAAATCAGAAAGAGGCTCCATAAGATGGATCCCAGACGGCCCCCTCTTCTATGTGAAATGAATGGACACGAGGGAAGTATTAGGGCCAATCCCAATTCTACCCCTTACCCCTTCCCTTTCCCCTAGCCCTACCCCTTCGCCTTCCCCTTGACCCTTGAAACAGAGTGGCAATGCGTAGGGGTGAAAATATTCCCCTAAGAAATGGGACACCACTACGCCTCCGTTAAACGTCATTATAAGTCGTCGCTAGCGCCTACGTCACAGGAGATGCGCCGATGTTTATCACAACTTCCAAGATCCCGTCGACAGCTGCAGTTATCTCAGTCGCGTGGGTTACAGCTATTTTCTTGCATCTTGTGAAGTTCGCAGGAAACAACGGAGACGACGAAAATATGTTGAAGGACTATCGTTAGCAAACTACAGTCATTTTAGCGATTTTTTTTACAAACGTTTCTGTGAAGAAACTGACCGTAAATATGAACACAATATTGAGTGTAACATAAAGCAAATCATTATTTGTCGTTACAATACTTATTAAAGCCACAAATACTTAAATTTATGGGTCTCCTTTGTCGCTTGGGCAGCCAGCCTGGGTTAGCAGTGACGCTTCTCATACCCCTTCGTTTGAAGTGTGCTCCCGAAAAATCTTTGTTTGAAGGGCTATCTGGCCCTTCACCCTAGCCCTCCCCCTCCAACCAAAAGAGAATTGGGACAGCCCTACCCCTTCACGTGGACGCGCAAAACGGAGGGGAAGGGGAAAGTGAAGGGGTAAGGGGTAGAATTGGGATTGGCCCTTAGTCTGCTCCACACTTCACACAGCACACTCTGGTAACGCTGTGCAGAGGAGGGTGAAACAACAAGATGGCTCTTGGACAAAGACATCAATCCCCTGTCCCACACCAATTATGGAGTACAATGAACACATAGGGGCAGTTGATCATTCAGACCAGTTCATTCAGTATTACTCTGCACAACACAAAAGAATACGCTGGTACAGACACACCTGTTTTACCATTTTCTGGACATTGCCACCACCGACAGCTACATCCTCCACAAGGAACTCTGTCTGGGCCAGCAAACAACACCCATGACACACAGAGCTTTCATGGAGGAGCTGACTGCTGAAATCTGTGGTAAGCCTCTCCACACCGCTCCGCTCCCTGTACCTGCAGGTCATGTTCCTTTGCCAATTGCCGTTCATACAGCAGATTCTTCCACAAATCTACCACAGGTCGCAGGAGGTGTGAGCATTGCCAAAGCCAAGGCCAGAGAAAGGAAACACCTTGGAAATTCATGCAGCTGGACAGGAACAAGGACTCTAACATGTCACTTTAGACAATTATTATTCATTATCTAATAATTTATTCATATTTGCAATATTTCTGTATCCCTAAGACTTTGGGAAACCCATTTCAAGGACCAAAATAATTCATCCACATGAGTAATGGTATGTTTCCACGAGAGATTTGAAGAATTTCATTTTTCACCTTTTAGAGCCAAATTATCCCTCTCTCTCTCTCTTTACACAATGCTCTAGGACAAGTGCTGAGCTCATCAGTGAGAGAGTTGGGTTTTCTCTGCCCATTTTGATATAAAACACATGGGATTATGTTATGTAAAAGGCGAATGTAATAAGATATGTAAAATTGAGGGGAAAAAAAAGGGAAAAAATGCCCTTAGACCTCAGAGAGTTAAAGTGCAGATTGAAAACATGTTTACCTCTGCATTCACTCAATAAAGATGAATTAAATAATGCGGTACATTGTTACTTATTTTGTTCAGTTTATGTCCTTTATTTATAATCTTTCAGGTACTTTGTCATTTCACTGCAATACACAATTTTAAACTATAGTAAAGGATATGGCCTGCTGTGGAGTTCATATGCACAAAATAAAGCAATGAAGTATTCTTATAAAAGAAGCGGACAATCATATATGGCCAACTTTCTATGGTGTGAACAGTCTTAATTTCACACAGATAAGTATTTTCTGGTACCATACTTTCACAAAGAACACAAACAGTGTTTCGCAATTGCATGACTTTTTGTATGCATCTGCAAGTGTGATGGCAAAGGATAAATACAAATATTATACTGATCACACAAGTGAATATGCATGTGATTGTTGAAGTTGCTCCATTTTCTAAACCTCGTCACACTATGTTATCTTTCCGGAGTGAGTTTGCAAATGACGTTTCAGGATTGTGTGAAATGTAAAACTCTTCTCACACTGAAGACACTTGTAAGGCCTCTCTCCTTTGTGGACTCTTAGATGAATGTTGAGGTTTCCTTTACGTGTGAAACTCCTTCCACACTGAGAGCAGGTGAAAGGCTTCTCTCCAGTGTGAATTCTTGTGTGAACGTCAAGGTTTGATTTGTTTATGCAAGTCTTTCCACAGTGAGGGCACATGAACGGCTTCTCTCCAGTGTGCGTTTTTACATGATTCGTAAGATGTTTCCTGTCTGTGAAACTCCTTCCACACTGATGACATATAAAATATTCCTTTCTTGAGTGAATCTTCATATGGTGATTGAGGGTACCTTTACATCTGAAACTCTTTCCACACTGACTACATACACATGGCTTCTCTCCAGTGTGAATTCTCATGTGAATCCTAAAACTTTCTTTCCGTGAGAAGCTCTTCCCACACAGTTTGCAGGTGTAAGGGCTCTCTCCAGTGTGACTTCTCATGTGGGCATTAAGGTTGTTTTTCTGCCTAAAACGTTTCCCACACTGATGGCATATGAACGGCTTTTCTCCAGTGTGAACTCTCATGTGAGTTTTAAGATTTCCTTTTAGTGTGAAACTCTTCCCGCACAGTTTGCAAGTATAAGGGGTCTGTCCAGTGTGAACTATCATGTGGGCATTTAGGTTTTTTTTCTGTCTAAAACTTTTCCCACACTGATGGCATATGAACGGCTTTTCTCCAGTGTGAATTTTCATGTGTTTTTTAAGATTTCCTTTTAGTGAGAAACTCTTCCCACACAGTTGGCAGGTGAAAGGGCTCGCCCCAGTGTGAATTCTCATGTGAGTTGTAAGATTTCCTTTTAGTGAGAAACTCTTGCCACACAGTTTGCAGGTGTAAGGTGTCTGTCCTGTGTGAATTCTCATGTGGGCATCAAGGTTTTTTTTCTGTCTAAAACTTTTTCCACACTGAGGGCATATGAACGGCTTTTCTCCAGTGTGAATTCTCATATGAGTTTTAAGATTTCCTTTTAATGAGAAACTCTTCCCACACAGTTTGCAACTATAAGGAGTCTGTCCCGTGTGAATTCTCATGTGGGCATCAAGGTTTTTCTTCTGTGTAAAACTCTTTCCACACTGAGTGCAGATGTAAGGCTTATCCCCAGTGTGAATCGTCACATGTTTTTTTAGATTTCCTTTCAGTGAGAAACTCTTCCCACACTGTTGGCAGCTGAAACATCTCTCTTCAGTGTGAATTCTCATGTGGACTTTAAAGTTTCTAGTTCCTGTTTTTTGAGGTTTGTTTTGTGAGGAAGTTTTTTCGGTCTGTGAGTCACTAAGAGATTTTTCTCCAGTCATGAACTCATGATGTTCATCATGAGGATCTTTTTCTTCCATATTGTATAGTTCTTCACTCTCAACTTTCAGCACTATCAGGTCTAAAGCAGAAAAAGACAAATATAAGTTAAGCCCAGTTCAATGGCACAAAGCAATGGACATCAAAATTAAATCTAACATGTATTCTAGATCTTCGCTACAGATTAAAAGACTAATAATAACAACTGTAAGTTAAGTACTTTATTGACTCATAATGTGCACATAGAGAACATATTGTATTAGTGGAGAAACAAGCTCTATTCATATGCACATATTTTTTATAGAGATCTATAACTTTTTTGCACATATCAATTTGAATTGTCTTCTTTTCTTTTTTTTAATCAAATAGCTGTGATCAATCTACTCTGTTTATGCCTACCCAGACAGCAAACTGACATTGAATCAACGTGGAAACGACGTCTCTCATGACATTGAAACAACGTTGATTTTGCTCATCGAATTAACGTTGAACCAACGTCAGATGCAGCATTCTTCAAAGCTAAATGAAAATCGAAAATTTGTTTGCTGAATAACGTTGAAACAACGCGTTGATTTCAAGTTGATTTTCCGTTAGTTTTGAAAGAATGACGCATCTGACGTTGGTTCGACGTTAATTCGATGAGCAAAACGATGTCAGATCAACATTGTTTCGATGTCATATTTCCACGTTGATTCAATGTCAGTTTGCTATCTGGGTACTGATACTGAGACGATTTTTATTTTTCTATTGAGAGGATGGAGTATGTCGTGTTACATAGATCCAATGAGAACCAAACTACAAATGATCTGTAGCCTGAGTGCAATACATTATACATGTTTCTGTAACATTACCCAGTTAGGTTACTCACTTTTTACACAAATATAGCCAGTAACGTGCATCTCACATTTACAACCCTTTACCATACTCAGGTCCATCTCTAAATGTATATTAAAATTTCTGCTACACTCCACATTATAACCTAATTTAACCACAACATGCTATTTTAACCTTTTTTAGCCTTTGACTGTGGCACAAGTTGCGTGAAGGACAAAGTAATACAAATGTAAATGTGACCTTGTTTTGTTTCTCCTGATGTTCAAACTCTATAACTACCCAGATAGCAAACTGACATTGAATCAACGTGGAAACGACGTCTCTCATGACATTGAAACAACATTGATTTTGCTCATCGAATTAACATTGAACCAACGTCAGACGCGGCATTCTTCAAAGCTAAATGAAAATCGAAAATTGGTTTGCTTTCATAACGTTGAAACAACGCGTTGATTTCAAGTTCATTTTCCGTTAGTTTTGAAAGAATGACGCGTCTGACGTTGGTTCAACGTTAATTCGATGAGCAAAACAATGTCAGATCAACGTTGTTTCGATGTCATATTTCCACGTTGATTCAATGTTAGTTTGCTATCTGGGTATCAAAGCAGAAGACTAAGGGAGTTTATATCAGTCCACTTCTGATCTATTTTTCGATCAGTTCTGCTTTGAAATGGCACAGCTGGGTTTGTGCAGCAATGAGACACGTTTAATGAAAGGAACACAAAGGTAAAATAAAATACTTGATGCAGCTTTTGTGCTGTGTTAATTTACTATTTTTCTTTATTTCTTAATCACCTAAAAAGATTTGGAGAAGGAAAATCAGTTGCATATAAATATGAAATGAATATATATATATATAGGAAATATAAACGGAATAAACTGGATCTTCTATAAACGGAATAAACTGTGGGACGCGAGGACGTTAAAGACCACTTGAGGCCAGGGAAGTGAGGTTTACACACACTGCTCATACTGTCAGTTGACAACAACACGATTCTATCTGGTCTAGAAACCATGTTTTGTCACGAAAAACCACGCAATAAAACGAACCAGAAATGACGCGAAACTGCAGAGAAGAACACAACACGCGAATATGGACGTCAGACAGAAACTAGTGCTGCACACTGTTTGCTCGACGATCTGCTCTGAGAAAAAAAAATGCAAAAAAGAAAAAGTAAGATTTACCTGGTGTCCTCAACCCATGCGTTGTTATGATTGGCTGTACTCATGACATCACTGAGATTGAGTCGCGCGACTGCTCGAGATATCTAGCATGCTAGATATTTTTCTGAGCTCGGTGACCTGTCTGTGAGGCGTCTGCGAGCTGTCTTTGATGCGTTGTTGGCTCTTTCACACTAACGGATTGGCAAACGTTAATCGTCCGCTAATCGCCCGCGATTTGCACGCGATAACACCCTGACTTGTCGGCAACTTTGCAAATCGGGCTTAAATCGGGCTTAAAATCACGTAGTGTGAACTAGGCTTTACCGGGTTAGTTAGTCTGCCTCAGCGCGTGCTGAATTCGATTAACGAAGTGAAGGTGCTTCTACAAGGTACTTTTATGCACATTAATGAGAGTGTTTGAGAGCTTGAGGAACTCAAGGGTGGAAGACCCAGTGTGAATTGCTCAATTACAGTCATCCTGTCCTTCTTACAAGAGTGCCTAGGCAGCAGCACACCTTCTACACTAAAAGTGTATATTGTCACTGTGTCAGCATTTCACAGCGAGGTTAACGGCAAGTCGGTTGCCATGAATGACCTGGCAGTCGTGTTTATACAAGGTGCAATGAGGCTTATTATTTTTTGAAAAATATGAAAGTTGTTTCCCATAGTGTCATAGATCATTTCAGGGAACCGAGCTTAATGTTACACTCTAAAAACTGCTGGGTTGTTTTAACCCAACTTTGGGTAAAATATGGACAAACCCAGCCATTGGGTTAATTTTTTAAATTACATTTTTAACCCAACATTTGGGTTTGTCCATATTTTTGAAGTTGGGTTAAAACAACCCAGTATTTTTAGAGTGTATATTGTAACGTGTTTATGAAAATAATTCTGATAAAAGAAAGTATATATAGACCATACTCCGTAGTACGGTGTACATTTTATGACATCCTCAGACCTTCATATGACGAAAAGGTGTCATGCCTCAGACTAAAAGGCTGCAGGTCTGAGGAAAAACAATGTCAGTTGTCAGGACTCATACAATTAGGCATCAGACCAAACAGCGTAAAGTCTAAAGGCATCAAACATCGGACGAAACAGACTCAAGGCCCTGATATATTCACTGCAAAGTTCTTTTTCTTCTTTGCTTAGGGGTAAAACAAAGTTCAACATTTTGCAGGACTGTTATAGTGAACATCTCGAGACCATCCACACTGCAGAGAGTGGTGTTTCTACAAATTTGTGCACACAACAAAAATGATTCTATATTTACTATTTGTGACATGATCCAGCAAAATGAGTCACAGTGACCCAAATTTAAATTTTTGGTAGATTTGGTAAATTTTTGGTTTTGAGATTTTGGTCTTAATGTAAATAGGACACCATAAGCTTTCAAATGATATCTTAGTCAAAGTCATACCTTGAATGGTTGTAAAGATGTACACATTTGAATTATGGCCGTCTGCCCTTTTTTTCCAATTGAAAACTTGAGAAAATCGCTTTTAAAGTTTTTTTGACCCTTTTTTTGTTGATATCTTCCAAAATCCATTGCATTTTAAGGGATAAACTATTTATTTTATAGCTTAATTTGACCAAATACATTAATATATATAAATGTGATTTAACCAGACTGAAGCTCAAATTAATTTTAAGTTTTTTTGGAATAAATAATTAAAAAGGCATAGATACAGTCGGTTGGTCTGGGAACGCCCCGTCACGGTATTTATATCTAGCCCGTGGGGGAAAACATTGCCTTGGCGCTCATTGAAATACATGGGACAATCATGCCGAAGAGTTGCTGTGTCGTTTTCTGTACCACCAATAAACTAACAAATTATAAATTGAAGTTCTACAGCCTTTCTTACATACATGCAGAACCGGATATGAGGACAAAATGGCAAAATTAATCATATCTTATTAGATTACTGTGTGAGTAGAGGTCCCTGTGTGATATAGTAGTAGATGTTTAACTCGTATTAGGCAGTGGGCCAGATTTGTCTGACTTTACATCCCTTACGAAAAAGAACTATAGTAATCCTATGGCTATTAGTATTCTATAGTAGTGTATAATACTTCTCTGATGTTCTTTAATACCTCTATACTTCTAGGCTATGTCCCAAAATACTATAGTATTCCTATAGGATTACCGTTACTATAATATTTTGTCCTAAAATACTACAAGATTCCTTTAGTTGTTTTTCATAAGGGATGTCTCAGTCACATTAGCGTTATCAGCTGAAGGTTATCAGACTGTAGTCTGTGAGAATTTGGATAACTGTCAGCAAAGTCCCTCTGCAACTTCGTAGCTACTACTACTGATCACCGTTTTACAAAAGGATTAATAGTTTTGAGTGAAGCATACGTACAATTGGTAAGTGACATGGTTTTATGGACTTATAGTAACTTATACGCAAGTTGATTGAGTAATAGGCTTGTGTTGCCGGTAGCTTCCGCGATGTCTTACCTGGAGATTCAACCAGATAACAATAGTCTGGAAACGACACCTCCGGCCATTTGGTGGGTCATTGACCCAGTTTTTAATTAAATAAGGGCAATCATAACCTATTACAGTTAATTTTGCAATGTACCGTTGCCGGTCGGCAGGCATAAATGACTCGCAATATGACATTTTTGTCATTCAAATACATAGGATGGTCGCGCTGCTTTCCCCCACACCGACCACGCCCCCCAACTATGACGCGTTGTCGACTGTATGTATTTTTTCAAAAATGTTCTAAAATCAGAAAGATTGAAAAGAGGTGCCAGAGAGAAATTCACATTTCATACGGATTAGCCTACATAAGCAGAAAGCAGTCTCTTTTCTTTTGTTTTGAATGGTTCTGTTTAAAAGTAGACATTTCAATATATATATATTTCTCAGGTCTGTGAGGCAAGTAGGATACCTTATACGCTGACTTTCGGTTTATTTCTGAGACGAGCTTCAGTTCACGCGCCGCCAGACACGTCCCCCGCGTAATCTACACCCTTGTATTCACATCAATTATCTTCAATCCAAAATTAAATCTAGAATCGGCTTTCTATTTCGTCATAAAGCATCTTTTACCTATGCTGCCAAATATTCCCTTTTGTAAAACTTACCATCTTACCAATCTTTGATTTTGGCGATGTTATTTACAAAATGGCCTCTAAAACTCTACTTGGTAAACTGGATGTAATTTATCACAGTGCTATCCGTTTTGTTACCAAAGCTCCATACACTACTCATCACAGTAATCTTTACTCACTTATTGGCTGGCCTTCACTATATAGACCATTTCACAAGATGTAAACAACACTGGTCCAGAAGCACTTCCTGTTTCAGTTTTTTAACACTACAAAAAAGCTGGGATAAAATACAACCAACAGAACATTTAAAACTGAATCAAAAAGTTAAACAAACATCTTTAAGATGTTTTCTTTACATGTGAAATAAACTGAAACAGGAAGTGCTTCTGGACCAGTCTTGTTTACATCTTGTGAAATGGTCTATACTCGCCGCCGAATACATTGGCTTCAACTCATCTATAAGTCCTTATTAGGCATATCCCCGCCCTATCTCAGCTCCCTGGTAACCATAGCAGCATCCACCCGTAGTATGCGCTCTAATAGGTATATTTTACTCGCTGTCCCCAAGGCTTATACTTCTTTTGGTCGCCATTCCTTCCAGTTCTCTGCTGCCTATGACTGGAATGAATTGCAAAAATCCCTGAAATTAGAGGTTCCTATTTCCCATACCAATTTTAAACATCAACTGTCAAAGCTGTTTGTTGATCACTGCACTTGTTTATAGTGCTTATTTTTAAATTCTATTTTGCTTTTACATATGGATTGGTTTACTGATTGCATGTTTGTTATTCATATTTACAATTAATTGTATTTTGTACTATATTATGATTTTCTATATGGATTTTTTTGTATGTTTTATTTGTTTTTATGTCTACCTCTGTGTTGTTTTTCGTTGCACTGTTTCGCTTTGTCTTGGCCAGGTCGCAGTTGTAAATGAGAAATTGTTCTCAACTGATTTTACCTGGTTAAACAAAGGTTAAATAAAAAAAAAATATTTAAATGTAATTTTTAAAGGTAATGCTCATTTTAATAATAATGATGAATTATCAACGTATTCCTGGGGTCAAACAATTTGACATATACTTCAGAATACCAGACCATACCCTAAATATGTCAAATTATCTCACATTTTAAAGAGATAGTGTCACCAGGGGTCCTTCTCTGTGATATAATTTCCTGCCCTATCGTCTTTTTACACAATATTAACAAAATGACTCTTTGGATGATGGTTGCACCACCTTGACACTTCAGGAATTTGACTTGACTCACATGATTCCCCAAATTAATTTTAATATTCAGGTAAATATTGTTCCATTTACTTTTATTTACTGTTAAATAGTTATAATGTAAGATTGAGCCAAACTAGCTGACATGGTGTTTTAAAGAAGATCATTTATTTGGTTCAAAGTTTTAATGGTTACACCACATTGACATTTTTGCAGTTATCCCCCAAATATTCTCTCAAAATGAATTAAAACCAGACATTTTAGATTTGTTCCTCAAAAAAGAGAATGTGTGTAAGTAATTTGCCATTTTATTTTGAAAGTTTAACTCTATTAAATTTAATTAAAACATATCAACCATTTTACCACCGATCACATTTAAAAATAAACACTTTTTGGCATACCATAAAAATAACTTATAGCCCATCTGAATTATATAACAATTAGGCTATCCATCTCATAGTGCAAACCATGTAGCCAACAACAATATTATTAACAGTAGAAGGGAAATCTTACATTTTTAAAACATGTATTTTTCATGAAAAATTGTATTTCCAAGAAAAAAAAAAACATTGTCTTATATTTGGAACAATACTGTAAGACAAAAACATCTCTATTGCCAACCCCATCCATGTTGCTGCTGTTGTTTTTGGGGTATGCCTACCTACAGAACATCATTACCATAGAAAACAGTGCAGATATTACAGAAAACTAAAGAGTGCCATGGGAAACACAAATCGGATATAAACACAGGGCTCCAGACTACGACTAAAACGGTTGTCAAATTATGCTACTTTATATTTCTAATAAAGAAATAGATTGGGTGTGTGCAAGACATATGACAACGTTAATTGCACAAAAAGTAGCATGGAAGTGGGATCTTCTCAGGTTCCAACATGACTTTTGCGTAAACATACACGCCACTTTCGAGTCAGGTGGCGTGTTAATTCTACGCATTTTGACCTATCCGCGTGTATGTCTACGCCATTAACGTCAGCGTCATTCCGCGTGTCCGTACACGCAGTCAAATCTCCAGTCATAAATGCCATTAACCCCAGTGACGGTTAGGTTTAGGGACGGGGTTGAGGTAAGTCATATATTTATATAACGTTAAGTCAACGGCGTTCATAAACACGCTGAAAGGCGATTATGCGTCTTGATAGCACGCCAAAAATGGAAATACGAATTGGCGTGGCATACACACGCTACTTCATGAGATCAGTTTGCAAGTTCACTTGAAGGCAGCGTTAGTATTTGTCTGGTCATGTAATCTTAATATGTCTTTCCACATGAGGCGACCCGCTCAGTGTCAAATAGAACCATTTTAATTAGGACAGTGAATATGACACTCTTCAAAAATATCATTAATTTCTGTAGAGATGGACATTTTAATAAGGATCAAATGACAGAGTTCAGCTTTGAGAATGAAACCAACCTGTTTGTTCCTCAGCATCTTCTTTTTTCACTCTGAATGCTTCTTCAATCTTCATGTCTTCACTCTCCTCTTTAATAAACGTCATCTTTATAATAGTGACTTGTGAATTTCAGTCGCTTCACCAGGAGTTTTCTGTGTGTTTGGACAATTGAATAATTAACAAAAATAAATATAAATCCAAACTAAATCTCTGTGCGTCTCAATCAGCTCTAGTTCAGTAGTCAGGTCACTGGTAAGAGAGTCAGAGTGAGAATTAATGGAGTTAAATCACCTGATTAGACTCAAATCTAGTGCTAAAAATGAATAATCATTTATAATGAATAAAAATTGCAGTAACTACAATTGTAGTAACCATGGTTTTTTGGTGCAAACCATGGCAGTGTGAATGAACCGAAATCAAACAATCCCGGCACAAATGGCGGGTCACATTATCCGTGTATTTTCCGGAATCTCTGTGTGAAAGGGGCTCATGATACAGACTTTTTTTTACAGCAGTTTCATCATTTGAAAGAGAGTATAAACTAAGAATATTTTCTTACTCTACAAAATTATTCAGAACAATGAACTACAATTTTACAAAAAAATATTGAAGTACTGCAAATTATTATTCATTTAGGGAAAACTATCTCTTTAAGTTTGCATGTTGGCAGTTGAGAAAATAACATGATGAGATATTAATATAGCTGGATACATAATTATCAAAATATTTATTAAACTGACCATGCATGTGCCTCCTAAAAAGGGGATGGTATAAATCATATCTTATTGCTGAGCTTGATAATCATTTGTTTGATTTCAGACAATAGAAAACATTTTGGTTACACTTTATTTTAACCTACATTTGCGCCTACATGTCAACTTACTCTCATTAGAATATTAGTTGAGTATTAGTAGACTTTAAGGAGTAAGGTTTGTAGAATGAGGGGTTAGAATACATTGACATGCACCTGCAAAGTTACTTAACGTAATAGTCAGTAGAAGGACTGCTCAAACTCAGTGACACTCATGATTACGCCTTAAAATACAGGATGTGTTCAAAAATATGAAAAGTGCACTTTTGTCTAGAAATGATGTTTATTATGACTTTGAGGTGGAGTACCAACATGTGTTCAATATTTTGAATGAGGACTGGAATAATTACATAACTTCATAGACATCAGAAAAATCATACTTCAAACCCATAGTTAAGGTGCTGTAGTAAAACTTAATTTTGTAGTTACTATAGTTCATTGCTAATTCAATAGTAAAACCATTTCTGTATTGTGAATTTACAACAAAATTCAAAGTGAAACCATGGCTACTGTCCTAAAACATAGTACATTTTCGTAAGGGAATCAATTTGTTAAGCATTTGATTCAGTTGACTCGCAGTTTCAAAAAGTTTACTTTATCTCATCATTACTTGCCAGTGACTGAATTCGTGTTTATGATAAACTTATTCACAATATTGGAGCGAAATGAGACGCACCTTTTCTATAAACGTTACTCATGTGTGGATGCGCTTTATTAACAAATATAACGTTCATTAATGTTAGATAAAGCAGTAAGATGTTACATTCATTAATAATTAATTCAATTGAATCACATAAAACACGTAGATTGAACGGTCAGTATCGATTAAAACACTTTAAACGCTAAAATGCACCAACCTCTGTTCATCCGATCACAACAGATGCGGGAGTGCGGCGCAGAAATATGTCGTCATATTGACAGCTCAAAATAAAAGTCCTGAAATTTACATCCAAAAGCGCACAAATAAAATTATGTTCGAAGTTGAATTCGTGGTGAAATACAACAGTTGTCAAATGATCATCATTTGTATAATACTACAATACTACATAAATATTTTTTTTATGTAAAGCCAGTTTTTATATTTTAAGATAATTAAAGAAAGATTTATAAAGCATGTAGCCTAATGTGTTTAGGTTCAATAATTGAACAGTCGACTGAACATAGTTTTAATGTAGTTATTTTCAGTGTTGGGGTAGCTACTCTGAAACTGCAGTTACAAGCACCTCCTCACTCCACCCCATTTCTTTCAAATCGCTCCAAACCAGTGTAATCAATTTCTTATTTGTTTAAATGATCCTGTAAATTGTATTGACCGGCACGCATATATGATTTTAGTACTTTTTTAGTATTTTGTCTCAAAGCACATGCTTACCTTTTTCACAGCCATATGCCCTTTCCTGTTTTGTTTTCCCACTATGCAGTGCTAAGGGTAAACAAAAGTCTTTAAGGGGGCAGAGAGACTTTACAAGTCTGTATGTTCAAATAATTCAGAAAACTTAAGACACTACACAATTTTTTAATTGGACAAAATTAAAGCCAATACAGCCAGAGGAGTGATAGTACATTCACATATCATAGTGCATTGGTGATTATATAAAGACCAAATGTCAATATCTAGAGCAAATCTAAAATAAAACATTCCCATATCTAAAGAAAAGAACGATGTCACCAGCGGCCCTGTGCGAGCACAAACGAACCAGACAGGTTTGAAGACGAGATGGATTGTGAGTGGTGAAGACAAGATGGATGGACGTCCCTGCTTGCGTGACGTCACAACTCCTCCAAAGATTTTGTGATGACTATAAAGAATGGAATAATTTATGATGGTTCTGAAAAAAAAAGCACGGCTTTGGAACGATTTGGATGGCATGGGATGGAGAGGGACGTCACTGTCCCGAATCCAATGTGTTATTTCTAGGGGGAAAACATTGTGTTCATTGTAAAGGCACAAATTGATCGGCAACGATTTGGACCATGGGATGGACAGTTATGTAACTGTACTTAAAACGTTTTTTTTTAAAGTTTAAGAGGGGATCGTAGTTGCAATGTTTCTTTCAATGGCACAAGCCGGCACAAATCGAGCACAAACGAATGACACCGATTTAGATGAGGTGGGTTGGGGAGTGATCACCGGTGGAGAGTGAAAGTTTACCTCTGACCTTCAACAGCTGTCACAGCTCCTGGTGAAGATGGGATGTGTTGTTGCAGGAACTGATTTGCTATAGGCTACTCCTGACTGGTCGAAATCTCATGCTACTTAGGACAAATGTAATGTACAGATGTAGCGGCACTGCTTAAATACAAAATTAAAAATTTTGAATGAAAAGATATGTAAAGTCACACTGATGACATAATTTTAATGTGAAATGTGCATATTTACCCCCAATTGTCATGGTATGGGGGAAATTATTATTTTTTTAAAACTTGAAACCAATTTCATTGGATTCCTTGACCCCAAAAATGTACACTTTGACACTAAATTTGTCATTATAGTGATAACAGAAGGAAAGATATGGGCTCTAGAGTATTTTTGGTGCATTGGCGGCCATTTTTGATAAAACATGTTCATTTCTGATACAAAGTGGGATCTCACTTGTGTCTTAGGATAAATTTATTTGTATGACCGTAAGGTACTTCCATACCAAAGGACACCTTTGCATCATGACTTGAAGTCAAAGGCCTATTTTTTTGGGCTTAACCTCCCTACTAAAATGTTCTAAGTGTGGCAAGCCTAAAACCAAGGAGTCTGGCCACAGCCGCTTTGGCAGTGCCACGTTTTGCCCCAGTGTCTCTGGTGTCAAATCTTTAGAGGAGTGGCTGGTAAAACAGCGCCAGCAAAAAAAAAAAAAAAAAAAAAAAAACCTGGACAGCCACCTCCATAATAAAAATAATCTTGTAAATACTAGACTGTAAATATGTAAACATGTAAATAAATCATGATACTTTTCTCAGCTGCAACAAATTAATGTTAAAATGTAAATACTCTTACCTTTTTACCAACCTAGTCCTGTTCAGCCATTAGTGTAAATAAATATGTGCAAGTAAACCATTATACTTTAGAATCTACTGTAACCAATCTGTAAAAATATAAATACCCTTACTTGTTTACTCTTCATCTTCTAAGCCAGTAAATATCGTTTGTAAATCCCTGTAAATAAATATCTATGTGTAAATACAGTTATGTTCTTTTTTTCTCCATCTTTCTATTATGTCTTGTTTGTTTCATTTATATAACAGAATAGTCTATTCTATTTCTACATTGTTAGTTGTTTATTGTTGTTCATTAATGTCTTTATGAACAAGAACGAGGAGGAGGAAGAGGAGGAGGAGGGCAAGAACGAGGAGGAGGAAGAGGAGGGCAAGAAAGAGGAAGAGGAGGAGGAGGGCAAGAAAGAGGAGGAGGAAGAGGACAAGGAAGAGGAGGAGGAGGGCAAGAAAGAGGAGGAGGAAGAGGACAAGGAAGAGGAGGAGGAGGACGAGGAAGAGGGGGGCAAGGAAGAGGAAGAAGAGGAGGAGGAGGGGGGCAAGGGACAATAGTGCTTGTCATGTCGACGAAGTGCTTTTGCCTGACCCAGGCCAAAGACAAGAAGCACATTGATCACGTTTACTCCTTTCATTTGTGTCCCTTTGAGTATCGCATACTGTAGTACAGTGCACTGCTGTAGACTGTACAATGAAAAAAATATGAAATTTTTTTTGAGATTTGTTTTGACATATAGTTCTCCCTGAGAACTGCATATGTTTTGAACAATGTGTTTTAAATTTTTTGGTGTATTGTTTACTGACTGCTTGATGGCGTATAGCATTTTGATCACTTTGTTTATGACTTGAGAGCAGTGTTTGAATTTGAACACAGGTAAAACTGTTTTGAGGTGAAAGTTTCATTTTGCAAGAGGAGTCAGAGGTTTTGTAAATAGTGCTTAAAGATGAGGTTTTGTGTTTAATGTTTTCAGAAAACGGAGGAAGGTTTCAGAAACTGTGTTTTAGCAATTGAGAAAAACTGTAAACCATAAACATGTAATATGCTTTTTTTTAAATTAATATAGGCCTACACAATTAATATCAATCAATATAATGATATGTCACATAGATAACCAAATGAAGGGGCAGGTGCAGTTGATAGCACACTAAAGGTTCGACACACAGGTTCGACACACAGCCCGCGGAGGGTGACTTGTTTCACATTTAACTAAAACTTCCACAACGCACAGGAATATAGCCCGAATATTGTTGCAGGGTAAATTTGTGCGTGCATTTCCGTCCTAAGAAACTGGGTAGTTGCGCCCCTGGCCGCAGGGATCTGTGTTAGGCCCTTTATTATTCTCAATATATATGCCAGATGAATATGCCATCATGGGCAGATGAATACGCTAAATTATCCAAATTGACAGATTGTGGTAAACATATAAAAGATTGGATGACGCATAACTTTCTTTGATTAAATCCAGACAAGACAGAGGTAATACTTATCGGTTCTAAAAACCGTCCACAAAACCTTTCGCAGCACGACTTTAACATATTAGGATGCCCTGTTACTTTATCCGCTACAGTAAAAGACCTGGGTGTTATATTAGACTGCAACCTTTCTTTTGAAAAGCTTATTTCATGTGTTACAAAAACAGCCTTTTTCCACCTTAGAAAAATCGCAAAGCTACGTAACATGCTATCTGTCTCTGATGCAGAAAAGTTAGTTCATGCATTCATGACCTCGAGACTAGATTACTGTAATGCTTTATTAGCTGGTTGTCCTGCATCCTCAATAAGAAAGCTACAGTTAGTCCAAAATGCAGCCGCTAGAGTTCTTACTAGATCAAGAAAATATGATCATATAACACCGATTCTATCATCACTTCATTGGTTACCCTATAAAGTTCCGTATTAATTACAAGGTATTGCTTTTGACTTATAGAGCTCTAAATGGTTTGGCTCCAGTCTATTTAACGGATCTTCTAACACACTACAATCCATCGCGCTCTTTAAGATCACTAAATTCGAGTCTTCTGGCCATTCCTAGGATATCCAGATCCACCAAAGGAGGGAGAGCATTTTCATATTTAGCTTCGAAGCTCTGGAATAGCCTTCCTGATATTGTTCGTAACCGTTTTTCGGTTCCTTGCCACTGTTGCCTTTGGCTTGCTCAGTTGAGGATATTCAAATTAAATGACCCATCATTGATCAGCTCTACCAAACTTGATTGTCTTTTTTCCATGAATAAACAAACACTGTTAAGTTGTTTTGATTGATATTGTGAAGCAGCTTTGATACAATCTGTATTATGAAAAGCGCTATCTAAATATATTTGACTTGACTTGACTTAATGATGGCTGAATACAAACAAAAGAATAACGAGAAAAGAATAATGAAGATTAAGTCTCATACCGGCAGGGGTGTGAAAGGTTTGTCGATAACATTTACATTTATGCATTTGGCAGACGCTTTTATCCAAAGAAACTTATATTGCATTTCAAGGTACACATTTACATTCAAATCAATTCTTGTTTTCCCTGGGAATCCATGACCCTGGCGTTGTAAGCACCAACACTCTACTGCTTGAGCTACAGGAAAGGTTGACAACAATAGAGCATGAATGGAGCAGTTCTCCTTGCTAGCCTTTAGTCATAGACTGCAAATGCGGGTTCACAGGGCAATAACATATTTAATTAGCATTTATCAGCCTTCTCTAAAAACTCACAACATGATCTTATGAATTTATTCACAGAATGCATAGTTTTAAAGACATCATCCTCAGATTTGAAATGAAGCATGACCACACTTTGTGGCTTCACTTTAGTTGTGGTTATAAGTTGTTACACAACATTCACGTAATATTTATATACATTTTAAAAAAATGTTCTAAATAAATATTTTTTTTAATGTTTGGTCTTATATATATATCCATTTCATGTAACAGTCTGAGTAATTCTGAGTTTTGAGAAGAAAATAGAAATTGGAATAGAAAAAAGCCTCAAGGTTTTCTATGTTTCTTGTTCCTTTGTTCACCTTTCCACAGTGATGGAACACGACAGAGTTATTAAATGATTCCTAATGGGTTTTTCCTGTCTGTGAAACTCCTTTCACACTGATAAAATATAAAACAGTAAAAAACAGTCCTCTCATAAGTGAATCCTCATGTGGTATTTTAGAGTTACTTTATATTGGAAACACATTCCACAGTGCCCACATATAAACGGCTTCTCTCCAGTGTGAATTCTTTTGTGCCTGTTAAGGATTCCTTTTCGGTTGAAACCTTTCCCACACTGTTGGCAGGTAAAAGGCCTCTCTCCAGTGTGAATTCTTATGTGGTCTTCAAAGTGTCCTTTCTGATTGAAACATTTTTCACACTGGGGGCATGTGTAAAGCTTCTCTTCAGAGTGAGCTCTCATGTGGACTTCAAAGTGTCCTTTTTGATTGAAACTCTTTTCACACTGAGGGCATGTGTAAAGCTTCTCTTCAGGGTGAACTCTCACCATGTGAACGTCAAGGTTTTCATGTTGATTAAAACTCTTTCCACATTGAAGGCATGTGTAAGGCTTTTCTCCAGTGTGAATTTTCATGTGGCTGTTAAGGTTTCCTTTAATAGTGAAACTCATTCCACACTGTTGGCAGGTGAAAAGGCTCTTTTTAGTGTGAATTCTCATGTGGCAATTAAGGTTTCCTTTTCGATTGAAACTTTTTCCACACTCATGGCAGGTGTAAGGCTTCTCTCCAGAGTGAACTTTCATGTGGTCTGTAAGGTTTCCATGTTGTCTGAAACTCTTTCCACACTGTTGGCAGGTGTAAGGCTTCTCTCCAGTGTGAATTCTCATGTGCCTTTTAAGGCTTCCTTTTTGAGTAAATTTGTTTCCACACTGTTGACAGGGGTAAGGGCTCTCTCCTGTATGAATTCTCATGTGTTCTTCAAAGTGTGCTTTAAGATTAAAACTTTTTCCACACTGTGGGCATGTGTAAGGTTTTTCTCCCTTGTGAATTGTTATGCGAACTTTAAGTTTCCCATGTTTATCAAAACTAAAAGATTTTACTTGAGTTATTAAATCATGATGATCCTCATCTTGATATTTTTCTTCATTTTTCTTCAGTTCTTCACTCTCTTCTTTCATGTCTAATATGAAAAAAGACCAAAGTTAATCCTGGTTTAATGGCACAAAGCAATAGGCAAACATTTAGACATGTAAAGCATCAAAACCAACATTCAACTAGATCCTATACCCATTAAAGGAGAACTCCGGCGAACAATGAACCTTTGGTCTAATAAAACATCAGTACAAAGTCAACCGTTCTCTGGGATTTGTTTTCATGATAATCGAATGTAAAGAGTTTTATCTCTAAAAACTGTTTAGCGTATAATGCTAGTAATGGGGGCATTGAGTAAGTAAAAAGAAATCGCTAGTTGTTACCACTAACAAGGCTCAAAATAGCCCCACACTCACACAGTAATATAATGAGGCTCCATACATGCAAAACGAAGCATTGAGAACTTTGTAAGTGTACAGACCGTTTAATAAGAAGATACTTTATGAAGACAGTCCACTTCGCGTATACAGACAGGAGCCATCTTAAAAAATAGCCTCGATAAGTCAAACCACGAACGTCGTGCTGAGTGATCTGAACTCTATGAAGTTCAACGAACTTCTGAACTGTATGAATGGCGTTCGGGGATCGACTAATCGAGACTATTTTTCTGCCTGTATACGCGAAGTGGACTGTCTTCATAAAGTATCTTCTTATTAAACGGTCTGTACACTTACAAAGTTCTCAATGCTTCGTTTTGCATGTATGGAGCCTCATTATATTACTGTGTGAGTGTGGGGCTATTTTGAGCCTTGTTAGTGGTAACAACTAGCGATTTCTTTTTACTTACTCAATGCCCCCATTACTAGCATTATACGCTAAACAGTTTTTAGAGATAAAACTCTTTACATTCGATTATCATGAAAACAAAACTCAGAGAACGATTGACTAGGTACCGATGTTTTATTAGACCAAAGGTTCATTGGTCGCCGGAGTTCTCCTTTAAGTTACTGAAATATGTTACATGTATTATTAGAACTCCTTCTCAATATTACTAACTTTTCACTTTCTTCATGACTTTACTAACTTCTTGACTCATCTCAATCTCCCATTTACTACATCTTCAAGGGTTTAAAACAGAATAACTTTAAAGGGGTAAAAGAAAACAGAACAAACTCCCTGCTCAGCCATCAGACCAAAAACTCATCAACCAGTAATTCCATGTAATGATTTATTAAAAGATAACACAATTTTTGTCAGAGAGGAAGCAGAAAATGTTGGTTATAAGTTCTAAATGATCCATCATGTCTTGCCTCTTAAGTGGTACCCTCTGAAGACTAGAGAGGTTGTAGTTAGTCTTGGTTAGGTAGATTTAGGCCCAGAGTCGTTCGTAGCCTACTAATTTATTATGTTGGTTTTGCTCATCAATTGATTATGGCGACGTTTGATTTAAAGGAGTTTGTAAGTCAACCTAGCGTTGCAGCTTTAGAAACTTGTAGAAAGGATGATTTGTTCCTTATTGCTCGACACTTTGAAATACCCGTTTCTAAAACGTTGCTTAAGAAAGATGTGAAAGCTTGTTTGTTAACTGGTTTAATTAATGTTGGGGTGTTGTCTTCGTTGGTGGATGATCCGGAATCAGCAGAAGCAGTCGCAGCTGGTATGGATGAGGAACAACTCGCACTGCATTCTTCGACCTCACTGCGTTCTCTCGCTGACAATCCTGTTATGATATGATGGGTGCCGGTAGTGGGGCGAAGGTAGGAGCTCAACATTTTTCTTTGCTTAAATTTGAGCCTTTATCCCTCTCTTCCGAAGAATCACCTGTACAACAGGGAGATTTGCGGTTAAAAGTACGATTACAGTAGGTGGACAACCAGAATGTCGTTTACCGCCGCGGTAGGTGCCGCCGTATTTCAAGGTCGGTGGCGAAATGACCACCAGGTGGCGCAAAGGGACATTTAGCGAAAGCAAAACATAACTATGTAAAAGTAGCCTACATTTTAAATAGAATATAGCTTTAACTAGAATATAAACTTTTAGGCTATAGGAGAACATTTTATTAATCAAAAGTTAAAATAGGCCTATTTCACAGTCAGCGAAAATAAAGTGCTGCTTTCAATGACGCTATTGAGGAATGGAAAGACTGAAGAGCGCTTCTCTCGCGTGCGCATACTGACTGCTGAACAACCGAACTTCTGGGCTTTTGTCAGTGAGAAAAGTCGTGGTCGAGTGGTAGAACTTTGGTACAATCATTTTGATGACACTGTTTCAAATCCCGCATAAACATGTATTAAATTTACCTTGCATTTCTATTTTACATTAAGGAACAAATCTCTTCCAACAGATTGACTGAATTTACATCTTCAAAAGCAGTTATGTTAAAAAAAAAGATTTAAAAAAAAAAAAAAAAAAAAAAAAAAAACATAACCAAGCTAAGCAAGTTGCGATTTGCCGGTGGGGTTTTTCCCCCTCCACAGTAATCAATGCTATGATTCGCCTAAATAGACAATATCAAATATGTGTATATATATATATATATATATATATATTTAAATATGCAACACGCACGTTTAAACAACAAATAGCCTAATAAAATCTGAACCAGCGCTTCTGCGCTTGTATTGAGACATAACATGCAGCGCGCGTTTCAGTTTCAGTGGCCTTAATATTGTTCGACAAACGCGGTGGTGCTCACTTGAATTTATTTTTCTCATCACATCTATAATAAAATCATATTTTAAAACTGCAAGAGGTCTCCTTTTTCATGTAGCCTAAAGTAGCCCAGGCCTACATTCACAATAGGCATAACGACAAACCTTTTTCTTGCACATTAGAGCGAATACATGGCTGAATGGTAGATCATAGGCCTACGGTTCTACCATTACAAAGACATGGGTTCGAAGCTTGGTCAAACATGGATTACTGTAGTTGTATTTTATATTTAGGCTATTAATGCAGAAAGATTTGTTCTAAGACTCTGTTACACCATTTAGGTTTTTTTGCTTATATTTATAAAATAAAATGACCATGCATTTCTATTTTACACTAATGAACAAATCTCTTCCAACAGATTGACTGAATTTACATCTTCAAACGCAGTTATGCAAAAAATATAGAAAATAAAACGTAATGGGGTTGTAATAGAAAATTTATTTTCTTTGTATATCTTGAAACATATATCTGCTTGAGTGGTTTGTGAAGTTGCAAGATGCATCATCATCTCCTTTGCAAATAGTTCAATAGTGTCCGCTTTGCAAAGAGGTCAATAGGACAGTACAAAAAGACAGAATGGTCTGTCTTTCTTAGCAATAGATAATTTTGAGTGCATCAAGAACAAGACATGTTTGGTTAGGTGTTGCTTCTTAAGTGACATATGTGCTGACTGTGGAGATGCATAGAACTCAGGGGCCTTAGTCAAAAGATAAGACGAGGAGGAGGTACACCTAGGAGGTTGATCTTTTGGGTATATAAACTCTGTAAAATGAGAAGACATTTGCCCTTCTCATATCAGACTCTGTCTGTGTGTGAACTGCCTTTCTTGCAAGAAATAAATACTAACACTTATAACTTTCGAGATCTTCATTTGTTCTTCAACTGTTGTTTAAGATGTTGATACAAGAATTTCCACAACAGGGTTCCATGTAGAATTAAAACAAAAACATCCCCCCTCCACAGTAATCAATGCTACAATTAGCCTAGACCATATCAAATATATATAGCCTATATATATATATATATTTTTTTTTTTTTAATTTTTTTTTTAAAATATGCAACACGCATGTTTAAACAACAAATAATAAAATCTGAACCAGCGGCTTCTGATCCTGTATTGAGAGATGTCAGTTTCAGTGGCCTTAATACATTGATTCGTGGCTTTTTAAAATGTCACGAATTGTTTTGAGGTGGTTTTGAACGAAATATTGAAATATTGAAGTTTATAATTGAGTATTTTTTGACACACCACGCCCAGTGTAGGCCTATTCTAAAATCAGGTTTTATTCTGGCATAATTGTGTTCAACAAACGCGGCGGTGCTCACTTGAATTTATTTTTCTCATAACAGCTAAAATAAAATCATCTTTTAAACTGTAAAAGGTGTACGTTTTCGTGTAAAGTAGGCTTACACTCACAATAGGTTAACGATAAAACGTTTTCCTGCTCATTTGAGCGAATACTCACTGCAGAAACATATGTTTGGGCATTTCTCTGCAAGTGAACACATGGCCGAGTGGTAGAACTTACGGTTAGAACATGATAATGACATGGGTTCGAAGCCCAATTTAACATAGATAACTGTAGTTAAATTTTATATTTAGGTATTTATGCAGAAAGATTTGTCTAGTTCTAAAACTGTTACACCATTTAGTTTTTTTTATTTTCTTGTATTTATATAAAAAAATATATTTCCATTTTACACTAAGGTAGGTACAAAATAGTATCCAACAGAATAACTTCTTTACATCTATAATAGTACCATTCGTAATTTCAAAAGCAGTTCCGTAAAAAAAAAAAGAGTTCTTTTCCAAAACGCTATAAATCCATTTCAATAGTTTTCAGGAAAACGTCTCGGTTACGGATGTAACCCTCATTCCCACGTCAGAAGTGACGGAGAATGGGGGTTTCGCATAGAAAGCCAATCCTCTTCGAGTATTTAAAAACGAGCCAATGGCATGAAAATGCCTTGGGGCTGCGGAATTTGCATAGCGTATCTCCGCCCCACCCCGTGGGTATAAAAGGAGGAAGTGAACGCAACCGCAGTATGTCTTCGCTGAGGAGCCAAGACTGAACTCCGGCGTCTACCCAGCGATACAGCCGAAGTGGCAGGGAGACGTAACGTCTCCGTTCACTACTCAGGGAACGAGGGTTACATCCGTAACCGAGACGTTCCCTTTCGTAGTCACTTCGAGTTACGTCATAAGTGACGGAGAATGTGGGTCAGTGCCATCACGCCATCTTCAAGCTGTCTTCCAGTGCCCTGCGAAAGTCTGAACCCCTGAACATAGCTTATAACCAGGGATCCTACTTTGACACAGGAATACCAAGGTACACTGGGAAACATATCCTGGGAGGGACATGCTACCAGATGCCTACCGAAGGAGGACTTACAAATACGCATATGGCCGCATAGGGATCACTGGAGCACCAACCGCAGGTGGCTACTAGAAATTAACTCCAGGGGTGGCAGATGGCTTGCCAAGGGAAGACACATGCTCAGAGAGGCTTACAGTGGATAATACACATGAGACAGTTACCATAGGGAACCGTGCACATGGAGGCACCTAGCCGGCATCCAGAGCAACAGCAGTGGTGCCCGCATCGTCGGTGCTGGAGGACTCAAGGCTTCAACGGAAGACACTGAGGAAATATCGCACTTATCCAGTCCGAGGAGTGGAATGGCGAGCAAGCGAAGACACCTAAGCGGGTCCAGTACTGGCAGAAGCGAGTACGTGAGAGGACACCGGCTCAATTCGCAGATTATAGAATCTCGCGAAGGTGTTTGGTGTCGCCCAGCCTGCAGCTCTGCAAATGTCTGTTAGCGAGGCGCCATGCGCTAGAGCCCAAGAGGAAGCCACGCTCCGAGTGGAGTGGGCCGTCACACCAAGGGGGCACGGTCGGCCTTGCTGCTGGTAAGACAATCCAGTGAGACAGCCGTTGCTTTGAGAGAGCCCTTCACTTCTGGCTCCCCCCATGACAGACAAAGAGCTGGTCTGAGGTCCTGAAACACCGCGTTCGGTCAACGTAGGTGCGGAGTGCACGTACCGGACAGAGCAGTGCCAAGGCTGGGTCTGCCTCCTCCAGGGGCAGCGCTTGCAGGTTCACCACCTGGTCCCGGAAGGGAGTGGTGGGAACCTTGGGCACGTATCCAGGCCGGGGTCTCAAGATCACGTGAGAGTAAGCCGGCCCGAACTCCAGGCACGCTTCGTCAACGGAGAATGCGTGCAGGTCCCCTACCCTCTTGATGGAGGCCAGTGCAACCAGGAGTGCTGTCTTCATGGACAGAAACTTTAACTCTACCGATTGCAAAGGCTCAAAGGGAGGCCTCTGCAGAGCACTTAGAACTACTGAGAGGTCCCAAGAGGGCACGAGGGGAGGACGAGGCGGATGTAGCCTCCTCGCTCCCCTCAGGAACCTGATGACCAGGTCATGCTTCCCTAAGGACTTACCTTCCACTGCGTCATGAGACGCGGCAATGGCTGCGACGTAAACCTCAAGGGTGGAGGGCGACAGCCTGCGCTCCAACCCTTCTTGCAGGAAGGAAAGCACGACACCGATCGAACATCTCCAGGGGTCTTCGCGAGAAGAGCACCAGCTGACGAAGAGGTTCCACTTCAATGCATAAAGGTGTCTCGTGGACGACGCTCCTCTAGCGGAAGTGATGGTTGCCGCCACGACAGGTGGCAGCGAACTCAAACCTGCCTCGTCCCATCCAGGAGCCACACGTGTAGCCTCCAGAGATCGGGACGAGGGTGCCACAGAGTGCCCCGTCTCTGAGTGAGTAGATCTTGTCTCAGAGGAATAGGCCAAGGAGGTGCTGTCGCGAGGAGCATGAGTTCGGAGAACCACGTCTTGGTGGGCCAATAGGGGGCTACCAGCAAGACCTCCTCCTTGCCTCCTTGATCTTGCACAACACCCGTGCAAGAAGGCTCACTGGGGGAAACGCATACTTGCGTGGGCCCCGCGGCCAGCTTCTGGGCAGTCGAGAACTGCTGGGCAAAGTCCTCGACTGCACCGCCGAAAAGGCCAACCTGGGAGAGCGGGGTGTCGAGCAGACGAGTCCGCTCGGCATCCCGTGTGTCTGCCAGGTTAAGCCAGAGATGGAGCTCCTGGACCACGCTAGTGGCCATCACCTGACCAACGGAGCGAGCGGCCACCTTCGTCGCCCGGAGGGCAAGGTCGGTGGCGGCTCGCAATTCATTAAAGGCCGTTTGGTCAGTCCCCCCCTCGTGCAGATCTCTGAGCAGTTTGGCTTGGAAGACCTGCAAAGTGCTCATCGCATGCAGGGCGGAGGCCGCCTGTCCCACCGCTCTATAGGAACGCGCCGCCATGGCAGACGAGAACCTACAGGCTTTGGATGGGTGCTTAGGAGGACCACGGGAGGAGGCGCTCTGTGGACACAGGTGCATCGCAACAGAACGCTCCACCGGGGGCATCCCAGTGTACCCACGGGCGGCCCCACCGTCGAGGGGAGGAAAGGCGGGGGAGGCTGGAGCGCGCTCTCGGGAGGACAAAGGAGCCTTCCAAGTGCGCGTCAGCTCTGCATGCAGCTTGGGGAAAAAAGGTATTGGGGTCTGCTGTGGCCTTGCGGCGGCAGCCTGACCCAAAAACCAATTATCCATCCGTGAGAGATCGGGGCAGGGCGGAGGGTTCCACTCTAACCCGATATTCACGGCGGCCCGAGATAGCATGGTCGTCAACTAATATGTTAATCATAAAACAATTTATGAATGGTTTATTTTTATAGGCCTATAACTTTGTGTTTGTGTTAGGCTATATTTAATTATTTATTTTTTTGTAAGTGAAGTCAGATTGCAGCGTGCGTCCGATTGAAGACAACACATTTCAGCGCTAGATGAATGAAACTGTGAGATTACAAATTTTATTAATATGTTTAATTTAATGTTTTAAATGGAGAAAGTCTGAAAACAGTAGGAATTCCCAGTGGGACTCTCCTGATTGTCCTGTGACCACACAGGAAAGCTAGGCCTTTCCTGTTTTTGTCGTCTCACCGTGTGAAAATGTCTGTTTGAAGTTTGAACACCTGCTAGGTTACCATTTGTCTTGGAGCTCCAGGATGTGCATTACCATTTACTTTGTCTCAGTGTCTCCAGCTTCATGTAATCCCACCCTCTTTGAAATGTATAAAATTAGAATGTAAGGTTCTTTTAAATCAGACTATCCTTGAGATGACTACAGCGACGCAATAAAGAACTTCTGCGTGAAAGATACCTCAAAAGTCTCCTGGTCTGTTGTGGGGAAGAAAAACTTCACTACAAAACGAATGCTGTTAGCTAAGATTTCAAAAGTGGTGGGGACAATTTCGACCCTAGCAAAAAGTGGTGGGGACGTGTCCCACCCGTCCCCAAGTACAGGCTAGAGTGTTAACCACTTCCGGTGGAGAGAACGCTGGCATGTTTGGTTGCCGCTTCTTCACTCGGTATTTTTAATTTTGTTTTTATTTATTTATTATTATATGCTGTAGTTTGATTCCTTGTTACTTGGTCGTGCTTCTACATTCCTGACTGGGATCAGACAAACTCTCTGCTGTGCCTGTGAAATCCTGCGTGTGTGTAACCTATCGGTGTGCCTGGATTTTTCACTCCTTTGTGCTCCCCATCAGAAGTTTTGTTTTACTACAACACTTTGAACTCTACACTGGCAGGACATTTTGGTAAACTGTGTCCTGTGTATCAGTGTCTGATCTTCGGTTCATCACAACACCTCGACTTCAGTTGGACATTACTATGTGGATTCATCTACTATTTGCTGTGATTTGTATTTTGGCATTGACTGGGTTCTGCGGAGTGCTGATCCACGAACACCTGGACCACGAGATGATAAGGTACTCTCTGCCTGAACTGCTCTCACTGAAACACCAGTTGTTGCTCAGCATACATGTCCGCGAAACTTTACGATCACTTCACCTGCTACGTCGGCCTAAATATGCCCATAGGGGATCACAGCAGAATTTTAACATCACAGGGACTGATATTAAGGTCTTATGTTCCCGACCCACTTGTATTGACATTAATAAAAACATCTCTCGTGGTGTTTGCCCTGCGAATTTATGTTATCCACAAGTGTCTATAACATACTCTCACAAAATCCGACCTGATTTCATCAGGTTTGCGCACCTTAATGTACGTTCATTGAACAAAAAGACTGATCTACTTCATGACATCATCCTCGACAAAAAACTTGATGTCTTCTGTCTTTCAGAAACTTGGCACCAACAGAATGACTTTTTAAATCTTAATCTGTGTACTCCACCGGGATTTAGATATATTGACAAACCCAGAGCAACTGGAAAAAGGGGGTGGCCTTGCTGCTGTAAACAGTTCTGAGGTCTCCGTCACTGACATTACTGTTCCTCCTGTCTTATCATTTGAGAGTATTGTTTTTAAAGTTAGTGGTGTTTCTCCTGTTTTGATTTTTTTTTTATCTATCGGCCACCGAAACCTAACCCTCTGTTCTTTGATGAACTCACTGAGTTACTTGCGTTTGTAAATCCCCTCTGTCCATCTATGATTCTTATTGGAGATATGAACAATTATGTTGATAATCCTAGTTGTACTCATACTACTAATTTGATGGAGATTCTGGATTGTTTTAACTTGATACAACATGTAAACTTTTCTACTCATAGAAAAGGTCATACACAAACTGCGCGCGCTGTTACAATCATGTCATCTCCGCATCCCATAGATACTATTTACTACACACAATAGGCTTTTTTCTCTGATTTTGAAAACTCTTCGTGATCGACTTTAGTGATCTAAAAGTCTCTATCGACGGGTTAGTGATTCCTGTAACGTATTGTTTTACGGTCAATGACATGAATACTAATCATCAGCTGTCTCACGAACGTAACAGCACATCTATCCCCACATTACAAACCCATAACACAGCGAGGGAGAACTAAGTTACATGAAACAATCCCCCAAAAATTCTAAGGTAATAAAAACATTACGGTTAATTAAGTAAGTTCTTTGTACACCACTGAAAACATAGTTATGGATGTCATATTGCATTTCTGTTAATAGATACTCAACTTTTTTACACATTGCACCTTTAAAATTTGTTTATTTAGGTTTTCTTTTGTAGTCTGAATGAGATCCGAGATATCATCGCTCTACTGCAGAAATTCAACAGTATCAACATCTATTCCATGCGATAATATGAGATCTAGAGAATGATTACGACAACGAGTAGGTCCTGAAGAAATACAAATTTTTTTAAATGAATAATTTAGGTAAAATAAATAATAAACTGAGAAAGCTCAGCTGTCGAGCACAATATTCCTGTCCTGTACTGTTTCTCTCTATTGTATTTTAAATTAATCAGATTACTGAAACTCTTGGGGACTCTCATGAGCTTTTGTATCAGCAAGAAAGAGTCCTGGCATTCCTGTTCATTTTTACTTCTTTGCTCGCTGTTTTGCTTTTATTCTGGTGCACTGACTCTTTCACTAAGCTGAACAGCCAATCAGAGTTCTCTCTTTCCCAGACGGCCCGACGGCGATTCAACATGTCGAATCGGGCGAAACAAAGCCGACGAGGACTATTTTCAGCTGACGGCACGGAACCGGGCGGAACACACCGAGGAAACTTAGTCGGCCGACGTCCAAAAACTGCCCGACGCCAACCGTCGGCTTGGTGTGTTCCAGGCTTAAGATATCGAATATTCAGCAACCCGAGCTTTATCATATGTTTATCTGCATTATGTTCTATCTGTTTTTTTTATTTGTTGAACATCAATTACATTTTTACCCTTAAATGGGTTTGGGAGTTTTTTGTATTTCCTAATAATTGGGGAACACAGTCTCTATATAATGATATCTAGGTATAAAGAGTCTATGTGATGGGATTTATCTGACCTCAGTGAACAGACTGACATCTGTTCAGGAAGAACAGCTCTTTCTGTATGTCATACATCAGTCCATACATCTGTATGTCATAAATCAGTCCTTTCAGTTTCGATTTTCAATCCGATCAAGTGTTTACAAGTTCTCTGAATTGGATTAGAAAAGGAATAAACCACCCCTTTCAATCCAATCGAAATTTAATTTGGATCGAGCTCAATCAGATCGGTTAAAGTGTTTAAATGAAGGCTTTTCAGTCCGATTGAGCAGTCAATATGATTACTAACGGATTATTTGGTTGCATGTAAACAGCGACTGTGTCTTCTGTTCTCTTAGGTCCTGTTTACACGAGAACGCTCGCAGGTAAAAACGTAAAAATATTTTATCGGATGTGCCTTTTGTTTACACGGCGACTGTAATTTTTGGGGCAGAATAAAAAGTGATAACGCAACGCAAACCCACTATCTGGGTGTGTGAAAGAACGAATGCACAGATGCATAGTCTACTGTTACAGACGAAATAGATACACACCACTATTAGATCTCATTAAACAACAAATTAAACGCAATGTATTATTGTATTCTATGTAACACGCCATGTCACGCTGTGTGTGAGTGGTATTTAAGACAGTAACGTTAAATTCAAGTACACCACAGCGACTCTATTGGTTGCTGTTTGACAAAAATGGAATTCCTGCATAGTGCCCCTTAAAAACAGGGACATTAGTTTGGCTGTAATTCTCAGTCACTTGCAAAATAGTAAAACCAACATGAAAAAGAATTGTGATCAAATCTGAATTGTGATTTTCATGAAAAAAAAAAAAAATTGTGATATATTTTTGCCACATCGCCCACCCCTAGTTCCATGTCAAATAAAACCACTTTAATTAAGACACTCATATTACATTCTTCAAAAAAATATATATATATTATTTCCGTAGAGATGGACATTTTAATAAGAATTAAATGACTGAGTTTTGCTTTGAGAATGAAACCAACCTTTTTGTTCCTCAGTATCTTCTTGTTTCACTCTAAATGTTTCTTCAATCTTCATGTCTTCACTCTCCTCTTTAATGAATGCCATCTTTATAATAATTGTGTCACGTGGTATCTTAAGTAGCTTCGCTTGGACACTGTTATGATTAAAATTAGAATAATTAACAGAAAGAAAAATACATTCAAACTAAATATCTGTAGTCTCAATCAGCTCTAGGCTAGTTCAGTAGCTCAGTGCACTGGTAAGAGAGTCAGTCCTCTGAGAATTCATGATTAGCTAAACAACAACAACAAAAAGCACAACAAATAAAAGAACAAATATTACAAACACTTTAAATTTATTTTAATATTTATTTTTGAATGATCTGTTGATTATATTTAATAGATTAAACAACATTTGCAGTTGGTTTGTAAAGTTGTCATTAGCGCACAATTGCGCGCTGCAATTCCAATCAGTTTCTCCAACGAATAATAATAATAATTCATTGCTGCCAAGTATTGATGGAAGAAATGAAACGCAACTGTTACAAATGCATGGATGCACTTTACTCACAAAACGTTCATTAATGTTATATTACATTATTACAATGCTACATTCAGTAATAATGCATTTCACAGCTCTCTATAAAACCGTCTGTACGGTTTATATTGATTTTAAACACTGTAAATAATTAAAAACACAAACCTTTCTTTAGCATAGACAGTAGCCGAATCGCAGACGCAGCCTTATGACATCACATCTCCAGACCAAAATAAAAGTCCTTATCAAACGCTAAAAATAATAGAAATTCACATTAAAAATGTATCTATTTAACGCATTTAAATGATAAGATAAATGATTCATTTAAAGTCGAATCACAGATTCCCAAAACTTTGACATTTTTTTAAAAGCTTCTAAATGTAAGCAAGTGTGAAATGGAATTATAATAAACAAATACAATTTGTGATATTCTCAATCAATCACAGATAAATTTAAGTATGTTGTTCATCATTTAACAAGGGTAGGAAAGAACTTTTAAATATTTAAACTCATAAAAATATAATCAAAATTAAATATGTGGTTTCAAGGAAATCTACTTATTTAATTTATTAATTAAAACCATATCACTATATATTATTCCTCTTAGTTTCTCCACAGAATATATAGGGATAAATATAATAGAATTTCACAATTTTTTTTATTAAAGTGCATTACATTAAAGGTATGTGACTGCAAAGGATTACATTGATGGTAAAACTGATTTTGTCCTGGAGGAATACTTAAATTAAAATGGTTAAAATAATTCATTCTGAATGGTTATGAAATTTGGTGAACATTTCTCCAGATTTTCTTTATTAAAATTTCTAAAAGGATTGGATTGAAATATATATATATATATAAGAACCAAAATAATTTGCAATATCACTGGGTTTAGTCAAAAAGGATCCTTCAACTTCAATAAAAGATGGCAATATTTCAGTTTTTCTTCCCATTATTGTATTAAGCATACTCCAAATTTTATTACTATCAGATATAGCCTCTATAATCTTATTTTCATAATACTTTCTTTTTTTTTTGATCTGTTTAATTTGGTAACAAAATTTCTAAATTTTCTATACTTATTCCACAAGGTGCTGTTTCCTGATGCGATGGCTTCAGTCTTTGCTTCATTTCTCAACTTAATGTGGTCCTTGAGTTCTATATCTACCCAAGGAGCAGCAATAGTTCTCACAGTAATTCGTCTCAAAGGCGCATATTTATCCATGATTGGCATTATTGAACTAGTGAAAGCCTCTAAGGCTCTATTAGAATCATCTTCAACTAATATCATTGACCAATCCACATTTCTTACTTCTTCACAATATTCATTTTCATTAAAATATTTAAATATCCTTTTAACAATCATTTTCTGCCCTGATTTGGGAACCTTAGTTTTCCTGTTAATTAAGACTAAATTATGATCACTAAAGCCTACCGGCAGAGAAATTGCTTTTGAACATAAGTCTTTTTCTTCACCGGGAATAATTGGCATTCAACAAGCAGAAAACGGACACACTAGCCAGAGCTTCGGCAGTAGTGCACGTTGTCCAAAACACACAAGGAAAAGCGTTGTGGAAAAAATATTATCGGCAATCACAGACATTGGCATTCCGACGAGATTAGATTTGTTAGAGGTCTGTTGAGTTCTGACAAAAAAGGTATTTTTTTTTCAGCAATATTGACAGAGGTTGTGTGAGAAAAACACAGATTTGTCAGATTCAGACGGGTGTGAGGTTTACTAATGTTGGTTATTTTTTTAGAACAATAAAAATGTCATATTTGCAACTTTCTATTTGCAAACAAAGAGCAATTAACATTTTACTTTTATTATGCCATAACAATGCAAGCAGTGCAAGGAGGGCTGCCTTATCAGGATGTGCTTAAAGTGTCAGAGCTTTAATAAGACTCCTCAACAGACATTGCACTGCTCATACCACAATGGCAACGGCAAAGTCCCACTGGATGAGTCTTGGAAAAGTCGAAAAGTCCTTGCACACTCAGTCTGAAATTCTCCCATAACGTTTTCACGTTAAAAAAATAAATACAACCTCGCGTTGTGTTAATCATGTTTACTGCCTAGGAAACTTCCGTCCATCATAAATTGAGATCGGGTTAAATTTTCAGCGTTTTCAGCATTTTGAGAGGCGTTTTGACACAAACGAACGCCAAAATCCTGCTCAGGATTGATTGGTTCACGGATATTTATGGTCTTCTTTTTAATATGTGGCTCCAGTATCGCTAGCAAAGCATCAAACTGAGCAACTGACATCCTAAAGTAAACTTCGCTCAGGATAATCCCGCAGCTTCTCGATAAGGAGGTGGAACTCTACTTCCTCTCTATGCAATCTCAGGATTGGATGGACCCATTATTTCCTATTTCTGTTTCTCTTTTTAAGAAGGAAGAGGACAACAAAATAATCCTCACTGCTTGAAGACTCCATTTTGTATTAACTTGATTTTTTCGCAACAGATTAACTAATACGCATCAGACTCAGTGTGCAAGGTTTCGGTGCGTGATTTTTACAGCCCGATCTCATGAAAGTTCGTATCTATGGCACGAATGTCATTTCTCGTGGCATTTATACGCCAAAAACAGATTTTCGCGTACATATGATACGCACTTTTTTGCGTATAATACGCACGAACTCCCCACCCCCCTCCCCCCTAAACCTAACCCAGGGTTTTTTAGTGCGTACCATATACACGAAAAAAACACTTTTGGCGTAGAAATGCCACGAGAAATGACACTCGTGGTATAGATACGCATCTTCATGAGACTGTGTTGGATTTTTAGGATGACAAATTCAAAAAAAAAAAATGCTTTCGGACTTGGTGTGCAAGCAACTTAAGAAGGCAATCCTATCTCCTTCCAGAATCGTCTGCCAGTAATTTTCCACACAGATGCTCCTCCTCCATCACGTCTACCCTTAGATAGGTAAAGGCTTGAGCCTACCAGCTGCCAGTTTGTATGAAGTCACCAACAGAAATTACATCTTCAATCAAAGAATAAGAATCATTGGACCCTGTAGCCATTCTGGAGTATTGCAGCACAATAGAGACTAACTTCTTGCCTTGTGGGCTTGTCATACACCTTGATGCCCCCGGGTCAGGGTCGTCACCTAATGATGTGCCCAGATAGCAAACTGACATTGAATCAACGTGGAAATATGACATCGAAACAACGTTGATCTGACATTGTTTTGCTCATCGAATTAACGTTGAACCAACGTCAGACGCGTCATTCTTTCAAAACTAACGGAAAATCAACTTGAAATCAACGCGTTGTCTCAACGTTATGAAAGCAAACCAATTTTCGATTTTCATTTAGCTTTGAAGAATGCCGCGTCTGACGTTGGTTCAACGTTAATTCGATGAGCAAAATCAACGTTGTTTCAATGTCATGAGAGACGTCGTTTCCACGTTGATTCAATGTCAGTTTGCTGTCTGGGTGGTGTTTGACCGAACTGAAAGACCGCCTTGTGCAATAAAATGGCCTGCTTGAAATAAAATGCCTGAATTTAAAAAGCTATGTTGATTGTAGCTATCTAAAACTGCACACCATGGAACTAAAATACTGGCAGGTCTAAGACTAGCTCTTGATTACAGGAATGTAGCGGTGTGGTTTTGTTGACGACATGGTAATTCAGTGAATATACAGAGACAATGGAGTGGCCTGAATAATTGGAGAGAAAGGAGATTACTTCTGTTTCTATTTTTAGATGTAAGCAGACGTAGAGGCATTACAGTCTAGTTTTATAGTAACGTTTTAATTGTTAACTCTATATGTAAATACCTTGGGAGTGATTGTTGTAAAATAAAATTTGTTACAAAGTTACAAGATCATTTAAGGCATTTTACACTTTACAAACGTCTACACAGGTTGAGTAAAAGGTAAACTGTCTCTTTAAATTCAGGGGTGTTCATACCTGCTACAGGAGAGCTACTGTCCCACAGAGTTTAGCTGTAACCTCAAACAAACAAACAAACCTCAACCAGCAAACCACCAAATTATGGTGTTTAGTGTGCTTGCTTGGGGTTGGAACTGTTGTCTGCATGACAGTCGCACTCCAGGAGCAGGGCTGAACACCCCTGCTTTAATTTAAAGGACAAGTTTGCTGATTTTCAACTAGCTTTGCATTGTTAGAATGTCGACAATATATGTAAATGAACAATGATAATCTTTCTCCATTTCAGTTGTACTGAGCCTGTTTATTTGTCAGCAAAACCCTGCCGGATGACACTATGTGGAGCTTTGCTGACAAATAAAGACTTTGGTTTCACTCATCTTGAAGTCAGATGGGGATGTCTGGGGTACTGGGCATCTTGGTCGATGGTCTCAAACATTTTCTCTCTGTGTGGGTAGTGTATAGTCATTCCACACAAAACGAGAAGGGACAGTTCCCTTTTTAAGTTTTCTTAGTGTCCTAGTAGTCAAAACAAAATCATCTCGTTGGAAATGTACACTACACACTCTAGTGTTTTTTGTAGGAGTGAAGTTGTCCCTGCGAATGCTGGCTACCCACTGAGCCCGAACTTCTGAGTCAATCGGGAATGCATGAAAGCTTATCACAGCGTTATAACGAGATGAATTAGCACACTGGGGTACACAGCAATGTAGCGATGATCTTCTCTGCTGTCGCTGATAGATTAGTTTGTTCTTTTTTACATTTAACCCAGTCATATTCGCTCTCTGCTCCTCTTCCCTCACAGTGTTATTGCGATCAGAAGTAAGCATGCACACACTTGCGTCCGGGAACTTTATGTATGCCATCTTGTGCACCGAGCCCATAAACTCCATCTTTGTTTGTTCCTCAGCATCTTCTTGTTTCACTCTGAATCTTTCTTCAATCTTCATGTCTTCACTCTCCTCTTTAATAAGCGCCATCTTTGTTTGATCCTCAGTATCTTCTTGTTTCACTCTGAATCTTTCTTCAATCTTCATGTCTTCACTCTCCTCTTTAATAAGCGCCATCTTTGTTTGATCCTCAGTATCTTCTTGTTTCACTCTGAATATTTCTTCAATCTTCATGTCTTCCCTCTCCTCTTTAATAAGCGCCATCTTTGTTTGTTCCTCTGTATCTTCTTGTTTCACTCTGAATGTGTCTTTAATCTTAATTTCTTCACTCTCCTCTTTAATAAACGCCATCTTTATAATAGTGTCACAAGGATCTCAGCTGCTTCACCAGTTTTTCTGTGTGTTTGGACAATAAAATGAGAATAATTACCAGAAAGAAAAATAAATCCACACTTAATATCTGCGTGTCTCAATCAGCTCTTGTTCAGTAGTTCAGTTCACCTGTTTGTCAGTAAGAGTGAGAGTTTTAAGTGGCCTAAACCTGATTAGCTCTAAAGAAATAGCATATTATTTAAAAAAAAAAAGCAAATTGTAAAGATATTTCATATTTAGTTGCTTATAATTAATATTTAAAGGATTTGATTCATTTAACTTGATTAAGTTTCTCTCATCACTACATCCCAGAGACCAAATTTGATCAATTTCATGATAAACTGATTCACGATATAGGGAGCAAAATATGACAAACAAAAGGCTATTACTCGTTTATGGATGTGCTTTACTGACAAACACTGACCATCATTAATGTTATTATGTACAGCATTACATCATTACATTCAATAATAATTCAATAATGTCACAGTTCTCTATATTGTCTGAACAGTTAAAGTATTGTCCCGAATATAAGATGATGGGTTTTTTTTCTTCTTCTTGGAAATACATCTAAAAAATGGGGTTGTCTTATAGTTGGGGTTTAAAGGGTTAGTTCACCCAAAAATGAAAATTCTGTCAGTATTTACTCACCCTCATGTTGTTCCAACCCCGTAAGACCTTCGTTCATCTTCGGAACACAAATTAAGATATTTAAGATATTAAGATCGCTCCTGCATACAGTCCGGCTTCTTGAGGGACTGGCTCTTGCTGTCCCCGAAAAGTCATTAAAGACATCGTTAAAATAGTCCAAGTGACTACAGGGGCTCAATCTTAAGTTTATCAAACGACGAGAACACTTTTGTGCGCAAAAAAACAACAAAAATAATGACTTTATTTCAACTATTCACTTCCTTCTCCATGAGCCTGTAAGTCAGTTAACGTAGTGTGATTGCGTAGCGCTACGTCACACGTAGGCTCACTATTGGCCGACGCTGGTCATGTGTGTGTGATGCGTGTGACGTACAATAACAGAAGCTTACGCTATTAAACTAGTAACCTGACTCGCGCAGAGGGAGAAATAAACGAATAGTTGAAATAAAGTCGTTATTTTTGTTGTTTTTTTGCTCACAAAAGTGTTCTCGTCGTTTGATAAACTTAAGATTGAGCCCCTGTAGTCACTTGGACTATTTTAACGATGTCTTTAATGACTTTTCGAGGACAGCAAGAGCCAGTCCCTCAAGAAGCCTATGGACTGTATGCAGGAGCGATCTTAATATCTTAAATATCTTAATTTGTGTTGCGAAGATGAACGAAGGTCTTACGGGGTTGAAACAACATGAGGGTGAGTAAATACTGACAGAATTTTCATTTTTGGGTGAACTAACCCTTTAAACTTTTACTTTAATAATACACCCGAAGCAATAGGGAGTGCCTAATACGAGTAAAACGAGTGTTTCTACCCAGAAGTGATAAACGCAATGGAGTCATCAAACAATTCATTAAGCAGCTATGAATTACAATTGTGTCAGAGTTTAATGTTAGAAGATGGCATGCCCAAAAAGACAGTCTTAAAAAGTCAAAAGACAGTCAAAGAAAAGCTTACCGCGGACCTAAAAGCGGCCGCTTCAAAGAAACTCACTGGCAAGTTAGTCAGTACGTTGCCGGGAAAAAAAAAAAAAAAGAAATGAGGGAAAATAAGAGACATGAGCTGAAGCCACTGGATATCGCCACAGAGCTGAACATGGCTACTTACTGACACACTTGCCTGTCAATATCCTCGAAGCTGATTTGATGCACCGTAAAAATTAGCGCTTACCCTACGACTTCAGGGAGAAACTGCTGTCTTTTCAGCGCTATGAGATCGAAGGAAAAAACATTAATATCCCTTGGATCAGATTAGCAATGCGGATCAAACACTTGTGGGTATTTTTTTTACATGCCTACATGTCACTGTACATAATAGAGGTGTGCAAACTGTCACAGTGAAATCTACTAAATGAGAACTTTGGGTTAATTTTATGGTAGCTATGCAATAAAGTTTTTTATTTCTGAATGTGATTGTTGTTGATAAGTTTCACCGGTATTCACCATACTTTAAATACAAACATTTAAAATTTCAATATGAAAATATGCTAAATATGAAACGAAAATTATTTTCAAATAAAGTATTTTCTTTAAAAGAACAGATTTGGTCTTCAAAAATCATTTTGCAAAAGGTATCTTAAAAAAAGAGTGTCATCTTTTATTCATATATTCAGAGTTGTCTTATATTCGGAACAATACTATGCTGCCTTAATTTTTTAAGTTGTGATTACAAGCTCATTGCATTCAAATTTTGTCTTGAGAAGAGTGTTCATGTCAACAGTGGCGGTTCTACTTTGAATTACACCCAGGGCGAGACCCCCTTCGAGCGCCCCCCTGAAAAAAAAATACTTTGCATATTATAGGCTACTGTAAAAACTCATAATTAAAGTTGATTTTAGTTGATCATTATGAAAAGTATTAAATAATATAGAATATATTGACCAAAATGATCACAGAATCGTGTTCAAAAAGCCTAATACACAGTGTCAATTCACCAAGTTAATAACATTAAAGATTTGTTTTAAAGGAGTGTCTTTCATCTTACCTACTAAACTTTAAAAAAGGTTAACATAAAAAAGGTTTTATATAAAGATAAACCTCATATTTCAGCATTTAAATCATCTCTATAAAAAGAATGAGTCAATAAAGATACATTCCTGACATTTATAATGCACAGCTTATCTTTTATTATTAATAGTAAAATTCGTACCAATTTTCCCATGGCTGTCGTTGCTATAGAACCATGCACTGTGATCTCCAACGACAAAGAAGTTTTAGTAGCTAATGTATTTCCACCACAGAAAAACGCTTGCTGTAGCTATGCTAAAAGATTTATTTACGGAGAAGAGAAAAACACCCAAGTGTTTGGGTGCACGTGCACTCCCATACTGAAAAGTTTATGAGCGCGCTTCCCGTGCACCTATTTGAAACATAGAGGATTTGAAATAACGACCACGAGCGCGCAAAAGACGCGATACGTGAACTAATCAGGAGATCCCCTTGATCCCCTCGCTTCTGCGCACGGCACCTTCTCAGCAAGCAGGGCGCCATTGCCAATAATTGAATCGAAATGATAAAAAATAGAAAAACTTCGCGGCACAGAGGATTTTTTTAACTGCTCGTGCCGCCCCCCATGTGACATGAAGAAATGCCGCCCCGGGCGACTCCCCGGTTCGCCTGTGCCTAGAACCACTACTGCATGTCAAGTTTTTTATAATTTCAATAACACATGAAGGCAGCATTAGACACTTTAAGTACAAACCTTTCCTTAGCCGAATTGATACACGGGAGCGTGGCGCAGCCTTATGATGTCATATCATCAGACCAAAATAAAAGTCATTTCCACACACTAAAATCATAAACATTTTCATATAGAAACCACATAGAAATAATATAGAAAACACTTTAAAATAATATTAAAAACATCAAAACCATTTCACAGATCCCAAAATAAATCGATAACGCTGAGCATTTTTAAAAGATTAATTACCTGCTCTTAATTAATAATACCACCAACTACAGAGCATTTGTAATATTCTCTGTCAAGGATCATGTTCTACATATTACAAAGGATTAGAAAGACCTTTTGAGTAATTTGTAGATCAAAATTATACATTTGAGGGATTAAAAAAGTCTGAAATGAACACTTAAATGAAAATGGTTAAATTAATAATTTCTTGTAAATGGTCGTGAAATCTGTTTAACTTTTTAACTTTCCTCAGATTATCTTCATTAAACTTAGTGTTGTGTTGAAATGTGACTAATATAAATAAGTTTTATATTAAACGTGCAAATGTACTTTTCTGATAGAAACAAACATAATTGTAGTCTCTGTAATAATAGATAAAAACTAAAAAGTAACAAATCTGTCTTCTATAAGGATTTGATGGAAATGAACATATGGTCTGTTTTTTTATCTTATTGGTAATATTCTTTTATAAAAGCAATTTTTAACATTATTTTTTTTTTGCAGTATAAAGAAATAATGTTCACTAATTAAAACCTGTTCAGTTTAATCAGTTTTTTTTAATAAAATATGATATTGCATATTTAGTTGTTACTCCTCATCCATCCTTATTAAGAGTGAATGGTGTTCAGTTTCCAGAAGATTCAACCAGTTTACTAGAAACAATAATAACATACCTACAAAACTCAGAGTGAAGTGAAGATCAGCGACTCAGTGAATCTTCAGCAGGATTCTTCATTGAGATAGTACTGTCACCCTGCAGTCATCAAGTCTGACTAAAGCAGTGGAACTTGGGAGTTTTATAGTCATTTTAGGAGGCTTAAAGTATGCAAAGCATAAGCATACTGCTCTAATAATCCAATCAGCATGACTATAGCACTCATTATCAGAGATTAGGGAAAGTCACACCTTCAGGTTTTGCGTTCACACTTAAATCAGGTGTTGATGATCATGAACGATGAGCACTGAATTAAATGAATGTGGCAAAAGAGCAAGAGCAAGAGCATCACAGACAAAAGGTTCACACACACACAAACACCTATAGCAAAAGAGATTTATTTAAATATTTTAAATGACATTTATCTTGTATCTTGACTTTCTAAGGCTCACTTAATTTGAACCAAATAATTGTGCAGTAATGGTATTGAAACAACATATTATGTTTTCTTTACACGTCCAATCATACATATAGTTGTCAAGAATGTTTTTGAAGTGGATTAATAAATCTATTGATGTGCCTTTGTTGGAAAGTAAACATACTATTTGGAGAACACACAAAAAATTATTTTACAGTAAACTACATATAAATTCAATGTTCATTATGGCAAACTTATCAAGACCCAACCGCTTTTCAAACATTTAAGTCACCTCAAGATAAATCTTAGTTCATTGTATGTTGTTCATTGTAAATAATTACCACGAAGTAAAATGTGATTTTTATCAGAAAAACTTCCCTTGTGAAAAACATGTGCTTAATTGTATTGAAAGCATACCTTTTGTGTGCTTCGACTCGTAAAAATATACTTTTTGAAAAGCGCACTTGGAGATAATATAATTCAAATTAAAGGGCACTTAAGTGTACTTAAAGGGAATGCACTTTAATGACAATATTTCTTAACACGCTTAAGTGCACTTTTTACAAATTCACATTGTAATAATATCTAATTAAGCTTAACTTAAAGTAAGTACTTTTAATGACAATTTTTCTAAACACTCTTACATGCACTTTTTAAAAATGCATTTTGTAATAACGTGTAATTAAGTTTTACTTAGGTCCTTCCTGACTTCCTCTTGTGAAACATGTATTTCACAAAGAAAATTAATTTAACATTTAATTTAATTTTCAAGAATAATATCGATCTGCCTTTTTGAATTAATTGATTATGATGATTTAACATTTAACATTACCTTACAATTGGTAAAATTGCATGAAAATCAGTCCGGTATTCAGTGAGATGATTCATTAAATGTGCTGACAGCTCATATCACCTGCTATACAGATTACACTGAGCAGAGCGAATGACCGGTTTAAGATGGCGGCCCCAATGGCTCGTCCATGCCAATAGGAATCGGTCGATAGGGCGTCTATCTATATGATGTATATGATGTAATGAACTAGTTTTACAACAAAATGAAACATCATTGAACTTACTTAAGCTGGACTCTGACATTATTTTCTTCTGGAAACAAACTTTGTTGCATCATTTTTATTGTAAAAAGCACTGTATAAATAAATGTGACTTTACTTCACAAAGAATTTGAGACAAAAACTAAACAAAGAACTCTGAAATCCTTTAACTTCTCATTACACAGACACATATATTTTTTGAGGAAAACTCCAACCTTTTAGGACACAAATTTTCTTTGTGAATGAATAATGTATCATAAATAAATAAATGTTTTTCCTTAAAATACAGGGTTCATAAGTCATTGCCCCCCTATGTTAAATTCCCATAGAGTCGGGCAGATTTTTATTTTTAAAAGCCAGTTATTTCATGGATCCAGGATAATATGCATCCTGATAAAGTTCCCTAGGCCTTTGGGATTAAAATATCCCCACATCTTCACAGACCATTCACCACACCTAGAGATTGGCATGGGGTACTTTCCATAAGATCATCTTTCAATGCAAATCAAACCAGCTATTAGGCTAACTGAAGTAAAACCATGCCAATCTCTAGGTGTGGTGAATGGTGTGTGATGATGTGGGGATATTTTAATCCCAAAGGCCTAGGGAACTTTATCAGGATGCATATTATCCTGGATCCATGAAATAACTGGCTTTTAAAAATAAAAATCTGCCTGACTCTATGGGAATTTAACATAGGGGTGCCCTGACTTATGCACCCTGTATTTTAAGGAAAAACATTTATTTATTTATGATATATTATTCATTCACAAAGAAAATTGGTGTCCTTAAAGGTTGGAGTTTTCCTCATTTTTCTAATTAAGGCATTAAGATCAACATCCAAAAGATGATTTTTTTATTCCTCTTTTTAGGCAACTTTAGCATGGGGGTCAAAACTTATTCACTCCACTGTGTATATATATATACGTATTTGGAATTAAGTAGGCTAACATTTGATCTTATTCATTTACTTTAGGTTGTACCTTGCAGTCATGCATTACAATGAAAATGCAGACCATGAGATATATATACGTATATATATATATATACACACTGTATATAATTTCTTTTACTTACATTTGATCTTATTCATTTACTTTAGGTTGTACCTTGCAGTCATACATTACAATGAAAATGCAGACCATTAGCAGGCAACAACATCAGCAGGACAAGCTATGTACAGGGTCGATTTCCCAAAGTCAAGGGTGAATACACTGCCACTTTAAACAGCACCTTTAGATGGTATGTTATAAAATGAATTTTATTTAAACACATCTACAAATACACTTTACACATAGTGACACATTTGAGATGTTCTAAAGGGGCAGGTTGTATATCAAAATGAATGAATATAATATCAATTTCTTCTGTATGCTATGCTTTACAGAAAATGTGAATGAACTGATAAAGCTCGTCTTTGAACAGGTGTTTGCAGAACCCACACCATTTGCAGGAACTCAGTTTGAAAAACCTTTAACGGAGGAAGATATTGTCCACCATGTCTCAAGCTTTAGTCAAGGGGTGGTCGAAATCCAACAAACTGTCCATCCGGATCAGGAAACTCCTGCTGAATCCGGAGCACAACACAGGATGGAAGAACAACCCTGATTTTCCGTCCTAAATAGCCCCAGCACCAGCTGACGAAGCTTCGTTGGGCGACAGAACGGTACCGCCTGTAAAGAGAGTGGTGGACACAATTAACATGCAAGATAAAACAGTAAAAAATATGTACATATATTAAATTATTTGAGATACAATTAATTTTTTCTAATATTTTGAAGAAAAGCATTCATGTCTTAATTAGTTTTTTTGCAGTGGTGTCATGAAATTAAATTTATATTGGTTTACAAAATAAAGTAATAAAATTGTATAAAAAGACTTACGCTTCTTCTGTTCTACGCTTCAAATTTCCATAATCAGCTTTGTAAATGTTTAAAATGTTCTGCAGGGTGTAAGGATTCAAACAGTTCGGTTCGAAGCCTGGGTGGTGTGTGATGCATTTCAGAGGCCCTGAAACCTGATTCATTCGTCTTAAAACCTAAGGAAGACAAGCCATAAACTATTTATAATACTGTCAAAATTACAAGAGTAAAAGCAACTCATTTCAACTCATCAAATGACATCTTTCTTTAACCCTTGTGCATCGTTATGGACATTTGTTTCTTTTTTAGTTTAGTGAACATTTTGCCTGTGCACAACTTTTGCACTAGGTACACCCAGGACCTTAAAGGAGTAGTTCACTTTTGAAAAAACTTTTGCTGATAATTTACTCACCCCCATGTCATCCAAGAAGTCCATGTCTTTCTTTCCTCAGTCGAAAAGAAATTAAGGTTTTTGATGAAAACATTCCAGGATTTTTCTCCATATAATGGACTTCAATGGGAACCAGACGGTCCAAGGTCCAAAAGATAGTGTTAATAACAGTTTCAGATGCAGCTTCAAATGTCTTTAAACGACACCAGACAATGAATAAGGGTCTTATCATGCGAAACGATCGGTTATTTCAAAACTTATTCCAAAAATGTAACTTTTCTAAGGACAAATGCTAGCATTGCTCCATTCTGTGAGGGGCGTTTGTAACGTCACGTAATACGTAATTACGTTCAAAAGGTCACGGGCGACGTAACCAGAAGTACAGAGTCAGTGTTTACAAGTTGAACGCATAGGTTGAACGTGCAAACTAACTCAAACGCCGTTTACAAAAAAGGAATTAAAAGGTAAAACAACGATGTCGGACGATTTTGATTCTGTACTTCCGGCTACGTCGCCCGTGACCTTTTTAACGTAATTACGTATTACGTGACGTTGCAAACGCGTCTCACAGAATAGAGCAAGGCTAGCATTTGTCCTTAGAAAAGTTACATTTTTGGAATAAGTTTTGAAATAACCGATCGTTTCGCATGATAAGACCCTTATTCATCGTCTGATATCGTTTAAAGACATTTGAAGCTGCATCTGAAACAGTTATTAACTGTCGTTTGGACCTTGGACCGTCTGGTTCCCATGGAAGTCCATTATATGGAGAAAAATCCTGGAATGTTTTCATCAAAAACCTTAATTTCTTTTCGACTGAGGAAAGAAAGACATGGACATCTTGGATGACATGGGGGTGAGTAAATTATCAGCAAAAGTTTTTTCAAAAGTGAACTAATCCTTTAAAGGGATACTTCACTTTGAAATTAATTTTTGATATGTTTTAGCTTACCTCTAACTGATCTGAATCAGTTGTCCAACTGAACCGAACTGAACGTCTCCAACATTACGCCGGAAGTGATCTCTCTCTACGTCACGCAGTTCGGTTCAGTTGGACTTCTGATTCAGATCAGTTCGACAGCTGTTAACAAGAGGTAAAAACTATATAAATACTGTTGATTTTCTCACACAAACCGCTCGTTTCGTGTCTTAGGCCATCAATGTGTACTTACATTTACGAGTCATTAAATCATGTTTAAGTTTGACTTCTCTGTGCATGCTCTTTGAGGTGGACCCCCATACCCTGCATTATATGACTGACAGACAACAACGGTTTGACAGAAAAATATCAAAATTGAAAATACTGTGGAAACAAAGACACCTACATCTTGGATGCCCTTGAGGTAAGATAAAACATACCAAAAATTAATTTCAAAGTCAACTATCTCTTTAAGGACAAAAATGTTCCTATTAAAATGGCAATATTTAATCCCATGTTTTCATTCGAGCGAGTGACGCGAACAACAATCTGAACATCCCACGAGTAGATCATCCCTTGAGTACATCTAGAGCAATTAACGCGATGCGAATATACCCTTTGCTTTTGGTGTGAATACATTTTCAAAATACTGTTCATTAATCATTTTTAGAAAAAATTTAAAACCTGAAGTGTTATTGGGAGTTATTACACAACTTTTGTGACTTAAAAAAAGTCCTTCTCTATCCATTTAATGGCTCGTTTCCACTGAGTACAGTACAGTACGGGTCGGTAAACCATGATCCGGCTTGCGTTTCCACAGCCAACAGTACCCTTACATGATAGGCGTGGTGTTTGCCGGAAAGAAACGATCGACGTCATTTTCACGCGAAGAAAGGGACATAGTAAACAACAATGGATAAATACACACACACACATATATATATATATATATATACTGTATACACATACACACACATTTGTTTTTATGTAGTAATTAATTTATTGCAGTACCTTTGGTATTTCCACGCAGCAGACATTTTCAACTCCAATGGGCATCCGATTACAGTTTTCACATCTGCACCTAAATAAACCATTTGTTTTTAAACTGTATTTTATGTTATCTCTTCAGGCAGTGGCGTGCACAGCCCTCCTCAGGGGCAGGAAGGACCAAAAAGGGCAACAACAAAAAAAGAAGAGTTCCTTTTTCTATCCTTTCTTTCATTCCTTGGCATTTTAGGAAAAGATGTTGATACAAGAAGAATGCATAACACATCAAACGAAAATAGGGATACAATGATAATATTGCCAAATATTATTTACTTTACCAAACAAAACAGTGAGAATCAAGTTTTCATTTTCAAGAATATTTTTGGTGATGTTGAAAAATGTATGTTTTGTGCATAAAAGTGTTAGCTATCATGAAATCAGTAACACTTTACAATAAGGTTTCATTGATTCAGTTTGTTAACATGAACTGTGCGTCTACCCCATTTATTAATCTTAGTTAAAATTAATTTCAGCATTTACTCAAAACATTGATAACATTAGTTAATGCACTGACTGACATAACATGAACAAACAATTAACAGTTGTATTATTATTAAATAAGATTAACAAATGTGTTGCTCATGGTTAGTTTAAATGGATAATACACAAATTAACCTTATAGTAAAGTGTTACTATGAAATCAAATATATAAATTCCTTACAATTTAGAGTTGGACTTAAGATTTCATATAGATGTAGGACATGAAGTCGTTGCAGTAAAGAAGATAAATTAAACAGTTATAATAATAAATCAAAAAAGGTAAGTGATAACTTACCACTGTGAAACGTTCTGCTGAAGTCGCGCTAGGAAAGGTTCCGATTCATCCTGTTGGTCATCAGCATCAGGATCCGACTCAGGCTCAAACTGATATGGTTTAAATACTGATGACATAAGTATTAATGTATTAGTATAATTGTCATTATAATTGCTTTGTAAGCTAAAGCACACAATTATGGAAAGGGGGCATTACGAACTGAATCAGCTGGCCAATCAGAGCACACTGCGCTTTTTGGAAGGAGAGGCTTTGTAGAAGTCAGTGCATTTTAGAAAGAGGAGCTACAATAATGTACAGTATAGGGGCTTTCGCACCGGGTAGTTCTAGGAACTAGCCACCAGGGTGCATCCTCAAGAACTAATGGTTCCCTTAGGAACGTTTTCCTGGTTGCATTCACACCGCCAGGTTATTTGATAGCGCTGTTATACATAGAAAGTAGACCGTATATGATAAGGTATTAGCGCATGCCTTGTTGATATCCAGGGATGATAGCTGTGATAATTTGAAAGCAGAAATACATAATCATGTTTCTCTTGGTTCCCTCAAAGTCATGTTGGATTTTCTACTCAGTGTATAGGTTAAGATATGGAAGCTTGTTTCCGCCACTGAATAAAAAATAATTGCGACATTTTATCTCACAATTGCGAGATATAAAGCCAGAATTGCGAGATATAAAGTCAGAATTGGGTGATATAAAGTCAGAATTGCAAGATATAAAGTCAGAATTGGGTGACATAAAATCAGAATTGGATGATATAAAGTCAGAATTGGGTGATATAAAGTCAGAATTGGGTGATATAAAGTCAGAATTGGGTGATATAAAGTCAGAATTGGGTGACATAAAATCAGAATTGGGTGATATAAAGTGAGAATTGCAAGATATAAAGTCAGAATTGCGAGATATAAAGTCAGAATTGCGAGATATAAAGCCAGAATTGGGTGATATAAAGTCAGAATTGGGTGATATAAAGTCAGAATTGCAAGATATAAAGTCAGAATTGCGAGATATAAAGCCAGAATTGTGAGATATAAAGTCAGAATTGCGAGATATAAAGTCAGAATTGCGAGATATAAAGCCAGAATTGCGAGATATAAAGTCAGAATTGCGAGATATAAAGTCAGAATTGGGTTATAAAGTCAGAATTGATATAAAGATATATATTGATATAGAGATATAAAGTCAGAATTGCAAGATATAAAGTCAGAATTGCGAGATATAAAGTCAGAATTGCGAGATATAAAGTCAGAATTGCGCGATATAAAGTCAGAATTGTGAGATATAAAGTCAGAATTGCAAGATATAAAGTCAGAATTGTGAGATATAAAGTCAGAATTGCAAGATATAAAGTCAGAATTGGGTGATATAAAATCAGAATTGGGTGATATAAAGTCAGAATTGGGTGATATAAAGTCAGAATTGATATAAAGATATATATTGATATAGAGATATAAAGTCAGAATTGTGAGATATAAAGCCAGAATTGTGAGATATAAAGTCAGAATTGCGAGATATAAAGTCAGAATTGCGAGATATAAAGCCAGAATTGGGTGATATAAAGTCAGAATTGGGTGATATAAAGTCAGAATTGCGAGATATAAAGTCAGAATTGGGTGATATAAAGTCAGAATTGCAAGATATAAAGTCAGAATTGCGAGATATAAAGTCAGAATTGGGTGACATAAAATCAGAATTGGGTGATATAAAGTCAGAATTGCGAGATATAAAGTCAGAATTGGGTGATATAAAGTGAGAATTGCAAGATATAAAGCCAGAATTGGGTGATATAAAGTCAGAATTGGGTGATATAAAGTGAGAATTGCAAGATATAAAGTCAGAATTGGGTGATATAAAGCCAGAATTGGGTGATGTAAAGTCAGAATTGGGTGATATAAAGTCAGAATTGCGAGATATAAAGTCAGAATTGCGAGATATAAAGTCAGAATTGGGTGATATAAAGTCAGAATTGCAAGATATAAAGTCAGAATTGCGAGATATAAAGCCAGAATTGCGAGATATAAAGCCAGAATTGGGTGATATAAAGTCAGAATTGGGTGATATAAAGTCAGAATTGCGAGATATAAAGTCAGAATTGCGAGATATAAAGTCAGAATTGCGAGATATAAAGTCAGAATTGTGAGATATAAAGTCAGAATTGCAAGATATAAAGTCAGAATTGGGTGATATAAAATCAGAATTGGGTGATATAAAGTCAGAATTGGGTTATAAAGTCAGAATTGATATAAAGATATATATTGATATAGAGATATAAAGTCAGAATTGGGTGATATAAAGTCAGAATTGTGAGATATAAAGTCAGAATTGCGAGATATAAAGTCAGAATTGCGAGATATAAAGTCAGAATTGCGAGATATAAAGTCAGAATTGGGTGACATAAAATCAGAATTGGGTGATATAAAGTCAGAATTGGGTGATATAAAGTCAGAATTGGGTGATATAAAGTCAGAATTGCGAGATATAAAGTCAGAATTGCGAGATATAAAGTCAGAATTGGGTGATATAAAGTCAGAATTGGGTGATATAAAGTCAGAATTGCGAGATATAAAGTCAGAATTGGGTGATATAAAGTCATAATTGCGAGATATAAAGTCAGAATTGGGTGATATAAAGTCAGAATTGCGAGATATAAAGTCAGAATTGGGTGATATAAAGTCAGAATTGGGTGATATAAAGTCAGAATTGCGAGATATAAAGTCAGAATTGGGTGATATAAAGTCAGAATTGCGAGATATAAAGTCAGAATTGGGTGATATAAAGTCAGAATTGCGAGATATAAAGTCAGAATTGCGAGATATAAAGTCAGAATTGCGAAATATAAAGTCAGAATTGCGAGATATAAAGTCAGAATTGCTAGATATAAAGTCAGAATTGCAAGATATAAAGTCAGAATTGCAAGATATAAAGTCAGAATTGCAAGATATAAAGTCACAATTGGGTTATAAAGTCAGAATTGATATAAAGATATATTGATATAAAGTCAGAATTGGGTGACATAAAATCAGAATTGCGTGATATAAAGCCAGAATTGCAAGATATAAAGTCAGAATTGCGAGATATAAAGTCAGAATTGCAAGATATAAAGTCACAATTCGGAGAAAAAAAAGACAGAAGCGCGACTTTTTATCTCACAATTCTGACTTTTTTTTCCACACAATGGGCTTTATGCACAGCTGAACTACTTCCTGAACTTAAGCCAGCTCCTGTTTCCTGTCTGCCATTATTGGGCAAATTGATTAATTCAGGTGTGCCTGACCTCATTAGTCACGGCAACAATAATCAGACACACCTGAATTAATCAAGTTTGGCCAATAATGGCAGACAGGAAACAAAGGAGCTGGCTTAAGTTCAGGAAGTAGAGCTGTGCATAAAGCTAATTGCGAGTTTACATCTCGCAATCCTGACTTTATAACACATAATTGTGAGTTTATATGTAGAAATTCTGACATCTTTTCTCAGAATTGTGAGATAAACGCGCAATTGCGAGTTATCAGGCCAATTCTAAGGGGAAAAAATACTAACTTTTTTCCCCTTAGAATAGTTAAAATCTCACAATTCTGACTTTATATCATGCAATTGTGACTTTATATCACGCAATTCTGACTTTACATCTTGCAATTGTGAGAAAAAAAGTCTGAATTGCAAGATAAAAAGTCGCAATTAACTTTTTTATTTTTCATTCTCTGGCGGAAACAAGCTTCCATATTAAGAGGCCCATCTGTCACAGTTTTCCATGTTCGCAGACGCAGAGTTAATTATTGGAGTCAATATATATAATACTGTTTCCACAGCTTTTTTTAAAATGGCAGGTGCTGCTGTTTCGCACGCATTCGAAAAAATGTCGAAACTTCTAATGTTACTCAAAATATTTGTTTTAAGCTTCTTCTGTATTATTCTTTCCTAAATTGATGTCTGACTCCATGTCATAATATGTAGGCTATGTTCAATTCTGAAGCATTAGTATTTGACTGATCATGAGATCTCAATGTCTGTCCACATGAGGGACCCGCTCAATATCAAAATAAAAACACTTTAACTAGCACACTCATATGACACTCTTAAAAAGGTATTATTTATTTTATTTTTAGAGGAGGATATTTTAATGAGGTTCAAATTACCGAGTTCAGCTTTGAGAATGAAACCAACCTGTTTGTCCCAGAGTGAATGCATCTTCAATCATCATGTCTTCACTTTCCTCTTTAGTAAATGTTTGTTCTTTAGTTTCTTCTTGTTTCACAGTGAATGCTTCTATCTTCGTTTCTTCACTCTCCTCTTTAATAAACCCCATCTTTGTCTGATCCTCGGTGTCTTCTTGTTTCACAATGAATGCTTCTATGTTCATTTCTTCACTCTCCACTTTAATGAATGTCATCCTGGTTTGTTCCTCAGTTTCTTCTGGGTTCACACTGCACACTTGTTCAATCTTGATTTCTGCACTCTCCTCTTTAACAAATGCCATATTTATAATAGTGTATCTTGTGGATCTGTGTCACTTCAATTTGTCCTGTTTGAGATGAGAATAATTAACAGCAAGAAAAATTAATCCAAACTAAATCTCTGGGTCTCGATCAGAGGGATTACCCCCAGCAGTACAAATGATTACAGTATTATATATTTTTGCTTTGAATCCAATAAACCTCTGTTGTGTTTGTACTGTAGTGTTTTGCATCAATATACACTTTGTTCAATGATTCCTCTGTGTATTCTCTCTACTACTGCAGTACTTTTACAGAGATGTATTACTGCACATGTAGTACCATAATGAAACTTGTATCATCTATTTTGTTCTACAATATTTAATGATAGTACAAACAATGACTCAGTGAAACTATCGGTTGCTTGTGTGTTGGTATAGTTATGTTTCAATGGTGTTTCACAGTAAATTCGTTTTTTTGAACCAATGATTGTGCTTGTGCAAGATTTCTTTAAAGATGTGAATGCACAATACAATGTTTTGAACATTAGACAGCCTGTGTTACAAGTGATAACCGTTTGAGTTTTGAAAAATGACATTAAGGTTCAGAAAACATAGCAAAGAGATTGTAAAAACTGTAATAATAGAACACAAATTATACATAAAAGTTTAAACTTGGTACGATTATATTATAGTTAGACCTACTTACTGTATCTACCGGTCAGCATGCGGTGATTCGAGCTATTTGAATCAATGATTCGTTTCGTATTGAATATGATTCAATTGACTCGGAGTATCAAAAAGATCCATTATCCCGTGATAACTTTCTCCATTGAACGAATTTGTTTTACGATAATTTGATTCACGATATACGGCGCTTTTTTTATTACTCATGTGTGGATGCACTTAACTCACCAAATAAACGTTAATTAATTACAGATAAACAATGCGATGGTACATTTAATGCAGAATACATCATTTAAGATCGTTTGTAATAATTATAAAAATCGACTGAACGAATTGTATCGATTCAAACACGTGAAATCCTTAAAAACACAAACCTTTCTTCAGAGGGATGATCACAACGCTTGCGGCGCAGACTTATGACATCACACAGTCAGACCCAAAATAGAAGTCCCGTTCACACGTTGCTGTCTAAAATATCAAAATTCAAAGAAAAGTACATGCAAAACACACACATAGTAAAAAAAATAAGAAATAAGGTATTTATATTATTCAATCCTTAAGAAATGAAAATACATGTTGTCTAGTGCACTAAACGAGTTTGTATCACGTCTCATATGTAAGATGCAAAATAAGTCATGTTTAGGTGCAGAAACAATTTTTACCAGGGGTTGGTAACTTCTTTTTCAGTGACAAGACATATTAAAATTGATGTTTAGATGCATTTTTCTAAACTGCCATAGCAAAAACTATAATTGTTATATAAAAACAATGTTTTTGTAATAAATTAAAACCATTATTAGGGCCACAGACAAAATGAACTGATGGAGTTAATCGGAGAAGAAGACATGTGGTTTCAGAGAGAGACAGAGAAAGAAGAGAGCAGGGAGGGGATTAGACAGACTCTTCTCTCTACTTGAGTGATTTTTTTAGAAATATATTAAATGAAACAAAATTAAGTCTTTGTTAAAATGCATTGTTTTATTTACAGAAAAACAGAGTTCGAGAACACGGAAAAACAATAACACAAAATTAAAATTGACAGTAACAGGAAAAAATGAGCCACCACAGATCCTGGAATCCTCCATAATGTATGCACTGTGTTCATGGGTATAACGTGAGCAACACACGACTATTATAACCAAATCACATTTATTTTCATATTGAATATCACAACATACATTTATTATTCAATCTAGCACTTTCAAATATGACAACTTATACTAAATAATAATACATTTATAGTTTATAAATATAACATATATAAAAACTCATTAATGTGTTAAATACTGTATATTAATATAATTAAAGTGTCATCAGTGTTTGATGACATTTCACCCGAATGAATAAATTTTGTCCAATGAAGTGAACACAGAATTCAGAGAAGACAACGCAAGCGACACATTATGACTGAAGATGTGTGCCGCACAGTGTGCGGCTAATGCTCCTTTGGATATGAACAGCTAGTGCAAACGTGCGTGTATGTGTGTGTGTTCCATTAATGCGCTCGCAGTTTCGCTTGTCGCCAGAGGGGGCGTAGTTCCGCAAAAACTCAGATACTTGAGTTTTGCACCTTTAACAAATGAAAGTGATTTTCTGTCTAAAAGACAAAACTGTATGTTTGGTTGGAGAAAACATTTATACCAGATATAACAGTATTAAAATGTTTTTTTTTTGTTGTAATATTAAAAATGTGGATATGTAAAGTTCATTTGAGTCAAAAAAATATCTGAAAATAGATATAAAATGTTAACAAAAAAAAAAGGATCTTCAAAAATATCTGTAGAAGATAAATTAAAGAGGCTATTAAAATACCATCTATAAATGTAATTCAGTCGATACCAAAAAATATTGATAAAAAGTTGTATTCAAATTATTATTGAGTATTTCATATATTTTTGATCAAGGGTCAGTTGTATAAGTTGCTGCCTATGTAGGATGATTCAAATCACTCACTAATGAGTGAACTCTGACAAGATTTTCGCCTGCTGAACAACAGAAACCTTCAGTTTTCTCAAAAAATAAATAAATCACATTTTAATTGGACTTCACAGGAGTCTTAAGGGAGATTCTTCATGTAGAACTTCTAGACAAGGAGCTGAAAACTATCCCAAAATAAATGACCATATCAGAAATAAACATATCTGAAATCGTATTATTTATTTATTGATATATAATAAAGATGCAAACACTCTAGACAGAACTTTTCCCAAACATTTTCTGTTGAAAATAGAGCCTAGAAAAACACTGCTGACAGTTTGACAGATACAGATAGATTTAGTGATGGTTAATTTGTCTACGCTCATTTGTATATATATATCATCCTATGTATTATATATCATCCTCAATTTCATACATCAAATCAAATTAATAACTAATATGCGGATTATAAATATCTAACATTGTGTATATATAGTATACAGTGCCAATATGTACCTCAATAGCATTTAGTTTTTCCCAGAATTAAGCCCTCAGAGCAGAAGTGCACAAACGTTTTACAACTGACTTGAGGTCCGTGGGCAGAGAGTAAAAGTTGCATTATATCAAACTATTATATTAAACCTTAAGTGGTTAAAGGACAAGTTACACTTAAAGTCCTGTTTTAAGATCGTTTCTTATTAAATAGAACGGTTAAGATTGAAATTTGGACAAATGCTGCTGGCCCGAGAATTTTTTTGTAATTTTTTTTTTTTTAGGTTTTCACTAAATTAATTGCAATAGCAAAAAAAGTTTGCGACTGCTATGTAATGGCCTTAACCTACACTGTTTATTTATCAGTGTTAATGATATTCTTACAATTTATGTGTATCTAAGGCCCCGTCCACACTACTGCGTTTTCGTTTAAAAACGGAGAATTAAAACGAAAACGATCTCCGTCCACACTAGCGTTTTACCTGCGTATTAGAATTTATCTCCATCCACACTAAAACGACTGAAAACGTGGATCACGTGACCATTCACCAACACTGGGCATGCGCGCGCCAGTGTAAACAGTGGTTGGCGAATCAGGGAAAGATACGTCATGACTGATGACACCCAATCATAGAGCCGAGTGTGAGCCTCTGCGTCATCGTTTGTAAACTCCTCCATTTTGTCTCGTACACACTACAACGCCCTCCGGAGATTCAAAACGCAAAACGCAGCTGCAGCGTCTCTAAACTTCTCCGTTTTAGGTCTTTGTTTTTCCCGTTTTAGTGTGGACGGGAGGTGCAAACGTAGCAAAAGGTCTCCGTTTTTAAACGAAAACGCAGTAGTGTGGACGGGGCCTAAGGCAAAGTGTGTGTGAACCATTTTTGAGCAATAAATGTGCCATATTTTAATGACCACATAAAAATGTTGGTCACATGGCCAAACCAGTTAAGAACCACTGCTCTACAGTTTATTTAGCAAGGAGAGGCCACAAGACAAACTGCTTTGGATTGTTTATTGCACCAAATTCATTTTAAAGGAAACATAAGGAATCAACAAAGAATCAACTGTGCTGATAAAAAAAAACCTAATCTTGACCACTATTTTAAAATTAAAAAATAATGTCAGGAAGTTCAGATACGACAACAATAAATAAAAAAAATGACTTGACTAAATAACCAAGAAACAATGAATGCAATGTTCATTTCTTAACCCTGGTCCATGAGGAAGCACAACATATTTTGAAAGTGTCCTCTGTCTGACAGGTCCTGGTAGTTCCTCATGAACTGAATCGGGAGAAAGGAGCAGGGTCAAGAAACACTTTATTTATGATCTCGGTTACATCACGGCAGGACAGAAGTTCAACTATATTTTGATTCAGAGGCATCAATATATGGAATTGAGTGTAACAATACCTTCATGTTACGATTCGATACATATCACGATACTGAACTCACGATACGATATTATTGCGATACTGCCTAAACATATGATAAAAGATTATCAAAAAAAATGCAAAATTTATATAAAATTTGTGGGTGTAAATTAATAGGCTTGGACTTGGTGCGGGTAACCCAATGCACAGGACAATGGTGACACCAGAATAACAATAATCATGATTCTCAAACTGAAAATACAGAATAATTTAGACGAATATGCTTGCCCTCTGACACTGACTAGATATATTTAATATAATGTCGGCCACTTTTTAGACATTTGGCATTATCAGGACCCACAAATATTCCCTCATATCATTATTATACATTATAATCAACATTATATACAGCAGTTTAATGTAGTACCGACACTAAAACTCTGAAAACTTGAATTTTTTTATCACAGTTATGATTATTTTGGGTGAACCATCCACGATACATATTGTTGCATTTTTGTATTGCGATATATCGTGACACGATATATTGTTAAACCCCTAGAATTGAGTGATGCCTCAACATAGTTGAAATTATAGGACGTCTACCGCAAACGCTCAATATTCGAAACTATAGCAAAGATGACGGTCAGGTGGGGCCAGAGGATTACACATGCACATCATAAAATAAAAAGAGTTGAAGGATGCAAATAATATAAGTGGTCATGAAGGTAGACAAACAGACATGGCCCACATTCAGCTGCGCTCAATTTGACACAGATACGCGTTTTAACAAATAATACTAACAGGATGTCACATTTGCATATGTGGCTGTAACGCCGGTTTCACACTGCACTGTAAATTAGACGTGTATCACGTATTTCAACAATCCAAAGGATTTGTTTTTCTCTTTTGTAAAACCCTTTAATGGAGATAAGTGCTAATATGTAAAACTATGCAGTTCATATATAATAATAAATATAATTCAGGTATCGATAAATGGGCGTGTGCTGCTCCCACTCTCCATACACACAGAGTGAAACCGGCGTAAGTGTGAATGGCAAATAGGGATGGGACGATAACCGGTTTCGCGATAAACCACGATAAAATATACTGACGGTTAGTATTATCGTTTAAAATGTAATTATCATTAAAACCGTGTTTGATTATCGCGATTAATAATAATATAATAACTGCACGCAATGTTTACTATTCGAGAAGGAATGGCGGAAGGCAGTGACCGTGATTCAGCCTTTTAAGAGGACCAAATCTGGAGTGTGGTCATAGTTAGGCTTTTACAAAAGTCCTGAGGGAAACTTTATCGAGGATAGTCACCCTGTCTGCAGACCAAAAAGTCACAGTCCAAAAGAAACACTTAAAATCTGCCGAGTCGTCTTCTTGTGTAACCATCACCCGCTGTTGTATAGTGAACACAAGGCAAGTTAACTTTGACTTCAATACCGAAACTAGGTCTGGGAAACA